AAGTAAAGTCGAATTTTGTCCAGATACTAATACACTCATTGGCTTAGATTCACCATTTGATCCTTTAACTGGATTGCCGTTCGTCAATTTTCACAAAGCTTACAGTGCCAGTAATATTTATAATTCGATCACAAAATATGACAAGGTGTCCTATGTTCAAGTGTTGCTTGCACAGCCAAATATTCCTGTTGCAATGACGTTTCTTCTTGGAGTATATTTCACAGACAACTCATTCACAGCAATCGATGTCATGAACCGTATAAACTATATGAAAGTTTATTAATTGCGGCATTAATTTTCTTGGATATGGTAGTGATAAGGATGCTCGGATGTTTAATGCGCAAAAGAAACTCATTAATTTTGGTGAAGTGACTATGTATGGATCGATTGAATTATGTGGTAATCTTATGTCTGAAAATTTCGGCACACAGGACACATTTCACATCCTCAAGAGATGGAAAAATCATTATATGGAATAGTACAAAGTGATTTGGATGTAACTGATTTCATGAACTATGACTGTTTATACAAAATTACAAGTGAACGTGTTTTGGATCTCCTTCGGACTATGGAAAATACACAAGGAACGGTTTTATATTTGGAGTTGATTCAGTGTGGTTTAAAATCATTTGTGGAGCATGATACACCGATTTCTGATCGTTTATTTAATGCCGTATATATGGTTAGTTTTTCAAGACTATGGAAGACAGATATCATTAACAAAGGAATGCAATGTGAAAGTTTCATCACTCCAAGCTGCTACGAAGGACTCGAGATGAATTTATTATGGCTTTTACGATTGGTTATTGACAAACGAGCTCACAACATATCTGAGAATTCTTCGCAACAGTATGAAAGTGAATTTAGACATGTTCGCTCTTTAACTGGTGTTCAAAGTACACAAATTAACTGCATACCTAAAATATTCCTATCTCGTTCACACAAAATAGAACTGTGTGAGCTAAAGGATGAAATTTCATTTCCCGTTATTGAGCAACGTTAAGAGAGACACAGATGAGCCAATGATGACATTTCGAAGGAAATTGATATTATCATCGAGAGTGGAATCTTCGCAGCTATTGAAAAGGCAAGAAAAATTGGAATTTATCATCAAGAAATTTCTTTAAGAAATTTGTTAAAGTCTTCTAGAAGACGCAATATATGTGAGAATGTTCAGTCTCGAACACACTTTGTTGCCAACCGGACTATTTCTGAATGGGATAATGAAGAACCCGAGTTGATCGATAAAACCCTTTCTTTTCAAAACGTCGAGTTTTTAAGTACAAGATCTGACGATAGATATATTTCAATTAAATAAGTTAATTCTACTAAAATCATTAAAAAAGATCAATTAATTTGGATGCTAGAAAATAACAAAATTCATGTTAACACCGATATCCGGCAGCGTTTTGTTCCTCGTAGAACGATACACATAAGTACAGAACAAAATCAAAACGAAGACTTTTGGATAGCCACTAAAGTTGCAAAAGGTGACAATATTTTAATGTTTGATGAAGGAAATATACTCTTTGGAAAAGTTTTAAACTTTAAACGTCTTTACATTCGGTCGAAAAGTAAATCAACTTACTATTAAGATTTTGTAGAAATTGAACATTGCTGTAATGCTGAATCCTTTATATTTCATTGAGAATGGACGTAGAGTTGTAATGGACATTGTTAAATTTTTTGAGTTTAAAATTACAAGTGTCATGTAAATTTTAATGTAGATTTTTCGCAGCAACACATAGCTAGTTTCATTAATTCTTTTGAAGATGAGTAAAATTAAAATAAAATTTAAATAAAAATTTTTTTACAACGTTTTTGTTCTTTGCATTTGCCTTAAATTCATTTTTTTATAATATTTGTACATTTACCGTATTTAACCGCCTTTTAGCGCTTTTAACCGTGTTTAACCACATTTCACCGTGTTTCACCGCATTTAACCACTTTTTACCGTATTTAACCGCTTTTAACCACAAGTTCTTTCCCCTTGAAAATTTCTTTTATTGAATTTCGATGTCAAAAATTTTTCGTGCACCGTTGGAGACGACATTTGAGCAAAAATAAAGTTTAAAGTGTACAACAGGCGTAAAAAATTTCATTTTTGTGTGTTTTACATTTTTTTTTTATTCATAGTCGAGAATTTTTTGGGCTTCCTTTGTGCTTTTGTTGTTCAACAAACCTGAAATTTGTGCTGTTTTACAGTTTGAAATAATGAAGCTTTGATGGTTTTCTTTGACGCGAAAATTTTCGGACGAATAAATAAAGAAAGAAGGCAAATAAAGTATAAAATGGCTTGAAAGTTCATTCCGTGGAAAATTCGGACACTGAGCATTTTAAATTGGCGATGTTTGTTAGAAGAATCTTGAATTTTAAGGTTATTTTGCTCATTTTGATGATATGTTGCTGAGTTTTGAGGTTACTTTACAAAATTTTGAGGCTAAAATGCTAATTTTGAGGTTATTTTGCAGATTTTGATGTTATGTTGCTGACTTTTGAGGTAATGTTGCTGAATTTTGAGGCTAAGTTGCTCATTTTGAGGTTATGTTGCTCATTTTGAGGTTATGTTGCTGACTTTTGAGGTAATGTTGCAGAAATTTGAGGTTATTTTGCTGAATTTTGAGATTATGTTGCTGAATTTTGAGGCTAAGTTGCCGAATTTTGAGGTTATGTCTCGATTAAACTCATATTTGCATCCCTATCAACCATAAGCTTCTCAACAATTCACTATATAAGCATTATTACGCCATATTTAAATGTGCATATGTTAATTCTCAACAAGTTGAGTTCCTCACATCCACAATGATGAGATGATTACGATGATGTTTGAATTCTGGAACTATCATGCATGAAATTTTTGCCAGAGTGAAATAAAGACTTTTTCCTCATCTTTTGTGTGCTTTTAATTGCGCGCATACGAGTTGTTAAAGTAAAACAAGTATGGAAAAGATTTGAGTTGTGTCGTTAGAGCGCATTTGTACAAAATTGTACATTTTTAAATCTAATATTATTTCTAGCCCTAATAATTCCTCTATTCTGAGCCCCTTAACTAGCCTCGCTACACCCCTGCCACTCCTAATCTACCACATGCAAATCCGATTGCAAAACTGAGGAACGATAAAAAAAAAGTTTTTTGTTTTTCAATTTACTTATTCAGCTCACTTTTCTACACAATAGTTCTATATATTCCATTTTACGTGGTTTTATTTCCAGATTGTTCTACATTCAGTATTGTTTTAATACTATGAAGAGATTTGCGGATGCTGTTGAAAAGCTTGAATTTTTTGTTTAATTTTCAATGCAAAAAAATATTTTAAAAAATTTGAGGTTAAAATTCCAGAAATTTCATCATTTTGAGGCTTTAAAGGATTTCTAAGATTTTGAGGTTATAATTTCAATTTTGACAATTTTGAGGTTAGAATTCAAAGTTGTGAGTTTTTTGAGGTAAGATTTCAAAGGTGAATTTTTTTGAGGTTAAATCTCAATGTTTAACAGTTTTGAGATCGAAATCCTAAATTTGAGGTTAAAGTTGCAAATAAACAAAGAATTTGAGGTTAAATCCCACAAAATAAGACACCTAACCCATCTCATCACACATACTTCCTTACATGCTTACTTGCTAACTTCTCAATTCCAACAACCAATGCAGATCAACATTAAATTACATCCACTCAAATTTCCATTCAAACACAATTGCTGCACAACTTCTAAAATTAGAAGCATAAAACGTCAGCAGCTGTACAAGTTTTTAATTGAAAAAGTAAACCATAAGACCAGTTGAGATGTGCAAACAATGGAAATGGAAATTGATGCGAACTCAGTGCTGTCGCATCCGCACACACTCACACACACTTGCACATAAATGATATCTGAGTGACGTGAGATGACTGTGGCAAGTGGAAACTGAATCCCTTTATGACATATGAAAAATTAAGAGAATTGTTTTTATGGTGCACATTTGGGATATGCTGTGACTGACTCCTTTTATGTAATTGGCTGTGTTATGTTGGAGATGAATTGAGGATTTGCAAACGGGGCCTTTTCATGTTTGAAGAGGATTTTTTTTTTTGGATTATTTACACAATAGATTGGATTAATTGAAATGTTTTGGGGAGTTGGGGTGAATTAAGGGTGGACTAGGATCAGATTGCATTGAATTTCGTCATTTAATTGAGAATTTTTGGAATTCTAACCTTAAATTTTGGGTATTTGAAGGTTTTAATATCAAGTATTTTGGTTTTTTTGACATTTTAACCTCAAACACCTTCCATGTTCCACGCGGAAGCTAAATTGCCGAAATTCTGGAATTTTAACCTCAAATTGTCTAAATTCTTGAAATCCAACCTCAAAAATTATCAAAATGTTACAAATTTAACCTCAAAGTTGTCCAAGTTCTAGAATTTTACCCTTAAAAATCTGCAAAATTCTGAAAATTTAACCTCAAAATTGTCATAATGTTCCAAATCTAAAACCAAATAGAAAAAAATTCTGGAAGTCTAACCTCAAACCTCTCCTAGTTTTCCGAACTTACCCTCCAAAACCGGCACTTTGCAGAGCATCAGTTAATTAACAGCCACCGAAAACAATAGCAAAGATCACAGATCCAAGAGTCATGAAAAAAATGAAGCAATTTTGTCTCGTGTACGGAACTTTTTTAATTAAAATTGACTGAATGAAGCTTTTTTTTTGCTATTTAACTTGAACTGCTCTAAAATGGAATAATTTTTGAAATTGAAAAGCATGCAGACTCGATGAACAGTTGAGTAAAGTTGTCAGAAAAGTGAATTCTGATTCAATATTTGAGGAGCTCTAAAAGTAAAATTTTCATAAAATTGTGTAAATGTTTAACATGAAAAGCAGTCAATTTCGTTTAAAAACTGCAAGATTCAATTAAAAATTGCTCGATGCCTTCATGCTGAATAAATTTTTCTTCGTACAATTAAGACTGATTTTTTTAATTTTTTTGCTAATTATCTTCTTTGTTATTTCTTTAATTGCAGAGCGCATCCTAGAAGAAAATTACCATGGATTAATAAAAGAAAATGAGACATTTGTTGAAATAACACCAGTAATTAAAGTCGATGAGGAGAAAGTCTGTCGACTTGATATCGTCAAGAAACAGAAGGATATTCCGTTCAAGGTGAGTTTTGTTTGTATTTTTAAGAGTTTTAGCACTCCTGGGGGATTTTGAAAGGTTCATGGTTATTTACATGCTCTAAAATTTTCACAGATGTTCCTTTTTCTCAAAAAATCAGAACATTTGAACAAAAAAATATTTTTAATCCTTCGTCATATTTGAGAGCGACAGTAAACTGTTTCCCAAAAAATGGCGCACGCCAACTACTTTTGCTTCATTTATTATGAGAAAAGTTCTATTCATATGCAAAAAAATTTTGGAGGGCGTGCGTCATATTGGGAAGACAGTAAACTATTCCTCGAAATATGACGCACGTTTTTTTTAATTGTTGAAAGTTTGAGCCTAGTAAGTACTGAAAACAAACGTCAGGATCATTTCAAACTAGGCTGCGTAATCAAAACTTCAAAATTTCGAGAAACCACCAAATTTCTCTACTAAAGCTACAAATACAAAAAAAGCATAATTTTCACATTTTTCATCTGTAAACAACTCTCAACATCATCCATAGTTACATAAAATAAAACTTACACAATTCAGTACCGAGCAGGCAATCACATTTCGCTCACTACGAATACCCAATAAATTCCAATAACTACAGACGACAAATTAGTATTGACAGATTTCGGATGGAGGCGAAAAAAAAAAGCAAGCAAAATTGTTGCTGCCATTTTTTTTCTCTCTTCTTCCACATCTTGCAGATGGATTTACGTTGTGAATGTCACATTCATCGACATGACATGAATGACGATAAATTTCAGTACAGAAAGGACAAAAATTGGATATCAAGGATGGTTCATGTGAGGCGGGATGGACAGATGCGTAGATCGACGATAATTGTGTATCATTGAGGAAATTTTTTCTTTCTCTTCAGGATTGAGGTCAATGAATAAGTAAATTAGGGGATTAGAGATTGATTGGCATAAGAAGTGGGGTTGGTGATTTTTGAGTAAAAAAGGGGTGTGCAACTACGACTAAGTTTGGTTTTTATGTTCTTAATTAGTAAACTGTTGATTATTTAAGCTTAAATTAGACTTAACAGTGAAGTTTATGAATGTATGTAGAGAATTAGTGCAATAGTAGGTCAAAAGGGGTCTACAACTACGTTAAATTTTAAATTAAAGTAGAATTTCCTAGGATTTGATCAAACTATTATTTTTGACTGAAGATCGACAATTCTGTCCGTGTTTTAGAAACCATCAGATCTAAACATCGAAAAAGCTAAGTTCCTTAAACCCTCTTCTAAACCCATCAACCCTCAAATCTTATTTCATTCATTACAGTCCAAATGATAATTATCTAATTCAGAATAACAAATTATTGAATAATCCCATAAATAACTCTCACTTCACATGAAGCACATGCCTCGGGGTACTTATCGAAATTGACTAAATTTAATGAAAAATCATTCACTCGATTATCCACATGTCTTTCCACCTCAATGACCATTAATATCGCAACTCATACATAATTTTATCCCCCAACAAGATTTTTCGTCTATATTTACAGAATTTAATTTTATTTTTTTTGGGTAGAAAAATTCGATCAAATTTCATGACACTTTTTTTTCCTATTTTTTATTGCAGATCAAGCTTGATAGTGGCGTTGGCATTTTGGAATCGAAACGTGCACTCAACTGTGAGAAGAGGAAGAATTACAAATTCGAAATTGTTGCTGTCATGTGCGATGGATCGCATTCGGAGAAGTGAGTATATTGGGAAATTATTTTTATGGGGAATGAAATGTAATTTAAAAATAAATCATAAAAAATTTTGGGCTTAGTAAAATAGTCCGCGGCTTCTGAAGGAAATTTAAAAGTATTTGCGGATTATGAAAGTAAAAATAGTTTGATATTTGCAAAAATTCAATTGCAGATTCTGAATGAAGTAAACAATAATATTACAAACATCCATAATCCGCGGATTGTGAAGGAAACTTTACTTTTCACATTAACTTTTTAAGTGAAAAATTTCCAGAAAAAAACTAGTTTCGCATCTTGTTGATAAATTAATTTTCTACTTAATTATTTAAGTAAACAGTTTTGTAATAAATTGTTCCCTGAAGGCACAAAACTTTCGCGAAAAATAACTTATTTCCATTCTCGAAAATTTCTTAACAAAAATAAATTATTGACAACACTACAAACTTTGCAGGCAGATGAAGCTTCTTTAAGAAACAAAAAACTTGTTCATAAATTTCTAAAGAATTAGAAAAAAAGGCTTGAAAGATTAAAACTTTCTATGTGGATGAATTTTCGAGCTAAGTTAATGGAATCGACATGAAAAAGGCATCGAAAAAAATACTTTTGGGGATTTTCGCGAAAGTTGTTGAAGTTCTTCTTTAGAAATAATGAAAAAGGCAATATCATAAATTGTTGCAGCAGCCTTTATCTTGAATTTGAGACTTGTCTGAATGATTCGGTTTAATAAATAAAGAGCATTTGTGGATTTGCAAATTGGAAATTTTTTTGGACTTCTTGGAAGTTCTTGTTTTGATTTTACTGAAAGCTTGGATTTTGGTTTGAATTTTTTCAATCAGCTTCAAAATAGGAATTGAATTGTCAACAAAAAGGTTTAGAATATTAAAAGCAAAATTTTACCTGCGGATTGTAGAGATAAAAATTAAACCGCGGATTATGAGGTATAAAATCAAAACTATGGACATACCGTTTTAAAAAAATTTCAAAAGACTACAAAGATTATAAACCGTATATTATGAAGATTATGAACAGTTCTTCATAAAGATTAATCAGCGGCTTATGAAGATTATGAAGATTATAAACAGTTGCTCATAAAGATTAATCTGCGGCTCATGAAGATCACGAACAGTTCTACTTCAAGATTAATCCGCGGCTTATGAAGATCATGAACAGTTCTTTATGAAGATTAATCAGCGGCTTATGAAGGTTATGCACAGTTCTTCATAAGGATTAATCCGCGGCTTATGAAGAAAATTCATTAATAATAAATCCGCACCTCTTAAAAAAAGCTCCAGTAAGCATGATTAACTAAAATGAAATTGAAACTAAGCATCACTCAAGAAAAAGTCGCCCAAAATGAAGAAATATGCCGAAAAAATTGAGGCACGAGATAAGATTTTCTTTATATGATATCGGTTTATGATGATGATGATGATCGGTATCAAGATAATGACATTTTGATGCCTTCGTTGAATACTAAAAGTGCGGTTGATATGAAGAAAAATTAAAAAAGGATTGGTGAGTAGAATGAGGATTGAATTGAGGTGAAATTTTGATGACTTTTGGTTGAAAAGTTGATGAGATTGGTATGAATGATTTGGTGGAATTGAAACTAAAGATGGTCATGTCCTTATTAACTGATTTCACTGAGAATTGGAAATTATTAGAATTAACTCAAACTCACAAAATTCTACTCCACAAACTCTAATTACCGCCAATTAACCTCAATTTTTATCTCATTTCTTTCAAGTCCGACCACAAAACAGCAAATCTGAAAACTTTTTCTTATCTTACATCCGAACCAGAAGTGGGCAATAAGAAAAAGGAAAGAAAATGTTGAAAATTAGCTCACAAGTTATCCGAATAATGTGCAAATTTCTTGTTCAATGTGATATTTATTGTGAGTTTGTAGATGAGAAATGATTTTGCTATTTTGGGTTTGTATAAAAATTAAGATTGATCATTTAGATTTATTTCAAATAAAAAGATAAAACAATATCACAATTCTCAAAAATATCGAAAGAAGACGCAATGCTTCAAAAATACAAACTTGTGAACAAAAAATGAAAATTTGCTTTTACAACCCGCGGATTATGAAGATATAATTATTTTAAACCGCGTATTATAAAGCTATTGATAATAAAATTTGATGATACTTGCTATTTTTACAATTTACCCATGAATTATTGGATATCTAATTAGTTTTCCATGGTCTAATATAGCTTTCAATATTACAATCCGCGGGTAATGGAGCTATAAATATTACAATGTGCAGATTAAAAGGTTTTTTTTATTATAACCAGCTTAATATAATATTAATTTATTTGCGGGTTTAGTCATTTTTGTCATCATAAACCGCGGGTTAAGTAGTCAATATCTTTATAACCCGCGGAATACAAACGGTTTATTCAAAACTACTCAAAATTCATCCAAAATCCCCACAAAGAAAGCTTTCCAACATCAAATAAATTTTAATTTTCTGACCTTAACGACTAAATTTATGACGTCAAATGATGAAGTCAGTAAGAAGCATCCACATACTTTCCTGTTCGCCAGAATGAAAAATCATCAGGATATCCTCTTCAAACAAGTGGAATGAGCGCAAAACAAAAACAGCATCTGCGAAAAATGAGAAAATTAAATTCTTGTTTTTTATTCGCTGCTGAAAATTAATTTTTGTTCATTTTTTTCCACTTCTGCACCTCATATTCATTATCTTATTGCTCTGGCGTTGAATGGAGGTCTTTGTGGGTTGTTGGAACTGAATGTAGATGAACTCAGATGACTTTGAGTCCATAAATTTTCATAATTTTTTATAAGCGCGTGTAAATGAAGAAAAATTAGTTTTTTGTTGCATTTTTGATGATTATTAAAAAGGTTGAAGGAGTTTGAAGGAGGTTGAAGTGCTTCTATGGATGGGGATGGTCTGGGTAGGATGCATGGTACCTCAATCCACTCATCCCCTAAAATAAACAATCACCAACACTTAATCTCACCTTTATAAAAATTTGTCTTGTCCTTTTCTCATTTCGTTCATTGTTCCTTGCCTTTATTTATCCTTATTTCCATCCATTCCTTCGTCATCAACATTTTTTCCCTTTTTTAATCCTCATTATACAGCAATTCAATTTGTAACTGTAAAGAATAACAGCAAAAAAAATTACAGAGCGTAGCAAAAAATTTTTTTACCTTTTTTATTGCTTGTGTTGTCTTCTTTTTGTGTCCTTTTTTACCGCATAATTAAATAGGAATGAAGTAACAAAGGATGAAGAGTGGAATTGAGCTTAAAAAATTCAGAAAAGATGTAAAAATAATAAAAAAGAAAAAAATTGGGGTAGTTTAAAGATGAGGTTTGGTAGGGGTTATAAGAAATTCCGGGAAATGTTAACCAAAATCGCACACTGTATACGACTCTTGACATGTTTCATGAATGCTGTACCAAAGTCTCACGCTGCACACGACTATTGACATGTTTCATGAATTTTGCACCAAAATCGCACGCTGCGTACGACTATTGATATGTTTCATGAATGTTGTACCAAAGTCGCACATTGCACACGGCTTTTGACATATTGCATGAATTTTGCACCAAAGTCGCACACTGCACACGACTATTGACATATTTCATGAAGTTTGTTCCAAAGTCAAACGCTGCACACGACTATTGACATGTTTTATGAATTTCAGACAAAAGTCGCACATTGCACACGACTATTGACATGTTTCTTGGATATTGTTCCAAAGTCGCACGCTACACACAACTTTTGACACTAGTCAATAACTTCGATACCAAACAAGTCTTACAAAACCTCTAAAACAACTTACTACATCCCGTTCCATAACATCCCATCTTCCTTGATATCTTTTTTAAATATTTGTATCAATAGAGCTTCCATGAAGCTACAAGAAGAATTTCAAGTCGAGATTTGAAGCAGCACAAAAAAAGGGGAATAGTAAATTAGAAAAAATCTTTCAACTTTTTTTGCAAAACAGCAACAAAAAAGCCCAAAAAAAGGAAGTTCTTTACATTCCCAATTTTGCCAAAGTGACAATTTGTTCATTTTAAAATTCAAGCAAGTCAAATGAGATTTCTGGAGAGCTTTAAATTATCATTAAAATTTTTTTGCGAGTATTTTTGTTAATTTAATAGGTGTGGAAATTAAAATTCATGAGAACAATATAAGGGTTGAGATTTGGGAAGGTTTTGGGTGTAAAAAGTATAATTTATTACTCACATACTCACCGAACGTTGGAACTGTGCAGACTTAATCGATTTTTAGAGCTTACTGCACTCAGTTGGAGTCAAAAGTGGTGTGTTGCGTGCGACTATAGTCAAAAAGTTGATTAAATGACCAAAAGTCGTGTTCTGAGTGCGACTTTGGACAAAAAATTGTTAAGTTGACCAAAAGTCGTGTGCTATGTGCGATTTTAGTCAAAAACTTGTTTCGATAATCAAAAGTCATGTGCTGAGTGCGACTTTGGACAAAAAATTGTTAAGTTGACCAAAAGTCGTGTTCTGAGTGCGACTTTGGTCTAAAACTTATTCCGCTGACCAAAAGTCGTGTGATGAGTACGGTTTTAGTCAAAACTTTGTTTAAGTAGTCAAAAGTTGTGTGATGCGTGCGACTTTCGTGTTAAAACTGTTCGGGTGACCAAAAGTCGTGTGCTGTGTGCGGTTTTAGTCCAATATCTAAACAGATACTTTACCCAAATCTGAAATCATACTAAATCTCCTTTCTACTTCCTTTAATTCCAGTGCAAACGTCCACATCTCAGTCGTAGACATCAATGAGTACTCACCAACATTCCTCCAGCCATCATACGTCACCGAAGTCGATGAAGGTCGTCTCTATCAAGAAATCTTAAGAGTTGAAGCTACTGACAAGGACTGCACTCCATTATTCGGTGATGTCTGCAAGTATGAGATTCTCACACTTGATCAGCCATTCACAATCGATAATGAAGGTTCAATCAGGAACACTGAGCCATTATCACATAAAATCAGTCACAATCACATCTTGTCTGTTGTCGCTTACGATTGTGCTATGAAACAGAGTGCACCAGTCATGGTTAATATTCGCGTACGAAGGATTTGTGAGCCAAAGATCAGTGGAATTCCAGAACGACTTGATTACACATCCAACAGCATGGAGAAAGTTTTCCTCTTCCCAAAATTACATTTGGAACTTTGTGACATGAAATGCAAAGGTGAAGACATGCTGATCTCATCGACAGTCAGTCTTAAGACTAAGCATATGGCATTTGGATGTGATCGTGACCTCAGCAAATGTGCAGCTAAGAACTCAATGCAAGAACTACTCAGCAAAGGAAGTGACTTTACTAAGGAACTAATTACAGACGATGGAGTCGAGAACATATTCCATTTTGATGGAACGAATGGCGCTGTCGTACCAAAGAGTGTTGTTGACGTTGATGGACTTTCAGCACATCCATTCACTATATCAACAATGTTCAGGCATCATAGTATTGTCAACAATGATAAATTGACTAAGGAACATGTCATTTGCTCAGCTGACAGTCACAGTAAGTTCATCATATTGTCGAAATGTCTAAAGTGGTGTGCTACGTGCTACTCTTGGCATGTTTTAGTATGATTGATCCATAGTCGTGTGCTGTGCACCACTTTAGGCAAACATTAGTAAAAATTGTCAAGAATCATGTGCTGTGCACCACTTTTGACACATAAAAGTAAAGTTTGTCAAAAACCGTACACTGCGCACGAATCAAGACCTTTCTTACTCACCCAACCCCCAAAACAGCACCCATTACGCTACTAACGACCTCCCATTTCCATTACATTAATTGTCACATTCTAATTTATTTCCTAAATCACCTCATTTTTAGAAATGAATCGACATCACTTTGCCTTATTCGTTCGTCACTGCCGCCTCATTCTACTTTTACGCAAGAACTACAATGATGGAGATTTGAACATTTTCCTTCCGGCTGAATGGCGTTGGAAGATTCCTCAAGTCTGCGATAATGAATGGCATCATTATACAATCACAGTCGAATCTCCAAAAGTTGAATTGTTTATTGATGGAATAAAGTTTGAGGCAGATCAGGAGGATAAGCACAGTAATCCGGAAGTGATTGATGATTGGCCATTACATGCGGCTCAAGGCATCAATACGACGTTGACAATTGGCGCATGTTATCAAAGCAGTGAAAATAGACTTAAGCACGGCTTCCGTGGGGATATTTCAAGCATTAAACTTATTTCAAGACAGGCATTAAGTGAAGAAGATATCCGATGTGGAATGAATTGTGCTGAAAGACTGTTGTCGCCAGATGAGAAATTGATGGAACCAGAACAACAAGTACAGATGAATAGTGAGATGAATGAGGTTGTTATTGAAGGATCAAATCGTCAGAATGTTGAGAAGCTTCTTCAGAAGATTCAGGTATGGATTATTGTCTTTAAAGCTGAAGCTTAGCCTCAAAACCTAAAATTAATCTTTAAAAATTCAAGAACCAATCCAAAAAATTCAAGAACCAATTTAAAGGTTCAAGAACCAATCCGAAAAATTCAAGAACCAATTTAAAGGTTCAAGAACCAATCCAAAAATTCAAGAAATAATCCAAAAATTCAAGAACCAATTCAAAGGTTCAACAACCAATTCTAAGGTCAAGAACCAATTCAAAAGTTCAAGAACCAATTCAAAAAATTCAAGAACCAATCCCAAAAATTCAAGAACCAATCCAAAAACTTCAAGAACCAATTCGAAGGTTCAAGAACCAATCCAAAAAATTCAAGAACCAATCAAAAAAATTCAAGAACCAATTCGGAGGTTCAAGAAACAATCCAAAAAATTCAAGAACCAATCAAAAAAATTCAAGAACCAATTCGGAGGTTCAAGAAACAATCCAAAAACTCAAGAACCAATTCAAAGGTTCAAGAACCAATTTAAAAACTCAAGAACTAATTTAAAGGTTCAAGAATCAATTCTAAGGTTCAAGAACCAATCCAAAAATTCAAGAACCAATTCAAAAATTCAATAACCAAGTCGGAGGTTCAAGAACCAATTCAAAAACTCAAGAACCAATTCAAAGGGTTCAAGAACTAATTTAAAAACTCAAGAACCAATTCAAAGGTGCAAGAACCAATCCAAAAAATTCAAGAACCATTCAAACAAATTCAAGAACCAATTCAAAGGTTCAAGAACCAATCCAAAAAATTCAAGAACCAATTCAAAAACTCAAGAACTAATTCAAAGGTCCAAAAACCAATTCAAAGGTTCAAGAACCAATTCAAAGGTTCAAGAACCAATCCAAAAAATTCAAGAACCATTCAAACAAATTCAAGAACCAATTTAAAGGTTCAAGAACCAATTCAAAGATTCAAGAACCAATTCAAAGGTTCAAGAACCAATTCAAAATTCAAGAACCAATTCTAAAGTTCAAGAACCAATCCAAAAATCTCAAGAACCAATTCAAAGGTTCAAGAACCAATTCAAAAATTCAAGAACCAATTCTAAAGTTCAAGAACCAATCCAAAAATCTCAAGAACCAATTAAAAGGTTCAAGAACCAATTCAAAAACTCAAGAACCAATTCAAAGGTTTAAGAACCAATCCAAAAATTCAAGAACCAATTCAAAGGTTCAAGAACCAATTCAAAGATTCAAGAACCAATTCAAAGGTTCAAGAACCAATTCAATGGTTAAAAAACCAATTCAAAGGTTCAAGAACCAATTCAAAGGTTCAAGAACCAATCCAAAAAATTCAAGAACCAATTCAAAGGTTCAAGAACCAATCCAAAAAATTCAAGAACCAATTCAAAGGTTCAAGAACCAATTCAAAAGTTCAAGAACCAATCCAAAGGTTCAAAAACCAATCCAAAAAATTCATTTATTTTCTCCCATTCCAGTACATCAATGACAAGGAAAACCCGACCCTAGGACGACGAAACATTCAAGTCTCAACAACAGTCAGCTGTCCAATGAAGAAGGCTGTACGTCTGCCGTCAATTGACTCATTCATCATGATTGTTGATGGCGAAAAGCACCAAAATGTCACAGACCATGAAACACCAACAATAACAACAGATTATCAAGAAATTAATCCTCAATTGACGGAAGAGCAACGCCCACAAATTGTCATATCCGGCAATCAGAACAACCTTGTATCATATCCGGACATCAAATCGGGTGTTAAATTTTTGGATAGCTTGAATATTGTTGTGTACATAAATGATCAGATCTTGGAGAACTTACAGAAGTTGGACTCATGCAGTGTCAATGTTTTCCCTAATTTGAATGCTGATCACGAGGAGATTACTATGTCAAAGGTAAGCACTAAAGCTTAATTTCTAAAGTTCATAATATTTGACTTTCCAATTTCTATTTCATCAGCAAAACCACGACCACGACCTCTCACCAATCCTCGACATCAAGACAACAATCAACAAAGATGGCGTCGAAATGATTGGATACGACACAGTCACAAATTATCTTCGAATCCTTCGTTCCCTTATCTACATCAACCGCAAGCCAGCTTACTATCTTAATCGAGTATTTAAGCTTTCATGCTCACAACTTGGCGATCGATTCCGTTCAGCTGAATTTACATTGACATTGACTGTTTTACATCCAAAGCAGCCAACACTAGCACCATTGCCAGTAGTGACTGAGAAGCCTGCCGTAGCTGCTCGTGAGCATGACTCATCAAATATGTTTGCACATGTGTTGCTGCATCCACAGGAAGCAAATGAACCGCATGCAAAGACCTCACATATGCAACGTGTTAGCAGCGTACAGCACTCGACGATGTTAATTATTGTCATTTGTGTGTCGTTTGTTTTGTTAATTTGTGGCGTTGGAATTGCACGATTGAGGAATCAGACGCAAGTCACGAAGAGTAAGAAGGGACATCAGTCCTGTGCTAAGGTTGGTTTCAAGGATCCTTAAAATTCACGAACATAACCTCAAAAATTTTAAAAAAATTCTAACCTCAAAATAAATCATTTCAGAATCCATCTGAGCAGCAGCTTGACTGGGATGACTCAGCACTTACAATCACAATTAATCCAATGCAAAATGATAATCTAACAGATGATAGTTCCGATTCAGAAAATTCTGATTCAGATGATGAAGAAGGTAAGTGACAATTGGCAATATAGTGGTAGTAAGCACACGGTTAGGATCCTAAAATGATGTCTTGACACAAAAATCGTGTACAATACACGGTTATTAGCCCAAAATGATGTATTGACACAAAAGTCGTGCACAGTTCACGGTTATGAGCCTAATTTGGTACCTTGATACAAAAGTCATGCACAATACACGGTTTTGAACCATATTTTCTAAAGCATTGAATCCATTGGATGATTCATCATCAACTTTAATTTACCAAGGATAGAGCGTAATTCCAGCTTATCAATCTAACGATCTTACAGCATAAAAGCTCTCTAATTTCGTTGAGAATTCATTCGGAAAAAATTCAATTTGAGCTTTGCGACTTATCGGATTATGTTTGTGCCACTGACTTCTCGGTAAATTGTAAGAAAAGAAAATTAATCTATGCTTGGATTCATTTTTCAATATTGCGACTGTATCGGGTTCATTTAGATTTTTTTACTTTTATCGAGTTTTTAAGCTCAACATTGCGTGATGAAAGAAGTTACGGGGAATTGAAATTTAATTGGAGATATTTATGATTGGATGACGTTTCGAGTGCTTAAAATGGTGTGCTGAGTACCACTATTGTGTCATTTAACAACATTTGACATTTAATCTCGTTCTGTACACGACTATTGTGTCAAAATACAAACTTTTGCAGAAAATCGTACGCTGTGTGCGACTCTTGTGTCAATATAAAAACGTTGGCAGCAAATCGTACGCTATGTGCGACTCTGTACCAAAAATCTTACAATTTTTAACCAACTTTTCTATTTTTAGTTCTCAATGGACGTTACAAAAACGTTAGTCAACTAGAATGGGACAACACGACAATGTAAAAAGTGTTCTTCAATCAAACTTAAAAAAAACTTTAAAAACAAGTCACAAAAAATCTGTTTTTTTTTTTTTATTTTAAAAAAGTTTCTTTCCAATCCGAACAAAGCAAAGCAAATTTTCTCGTCAAACTCGCGTCCATTCTTCAAAACGTAAATAGAAAAAGTAAATAAATATTTTTAAGAAATCAAATAGCAGTGGATGGATATGGCTTACATGTTGATATAAAAAGAATAAAAGTCGAATAAAAAGGAAGCAAAAAGCGGAAATAAAAATCAAATAGGAAGTAAATATGAAATGAAATGGCAAAAAAAATTAAATGTGCAACGTCATCGTGGGTTTTGGTGGGTGGATTGGAGGTTATAATCATTTTGAAGTTCGTATTCAAAATTTTGAGGTTATGTTTCTCAATTTGAGGTTAGAATCGAAAATTTTAAGGTTATGTTCCTCGATTTGAGGTAAGAACTCAAAATTTTGAGGTTATGTTTCTCAATTTGAGGTTAGAATCCAAAATTTTAAGGTTATGTTTCTCAATTTGAGGTTAGAATCAAAAATTTTAAGGTTATGTTTCTCGATTTGAGGTTAAAATTCAAAAATTTTGAGGTTATGTTTCTCAATTTGAGGTTAAAATCCAAAAGTTTGAGGTTAAGTTTTGAATTAAGGTTTCTTAATCTGCAATTGGCCCATCCCACATGACGTTATGCAACAAACAAACCTTGAATCAGATCACAAAAATAACCAACTAGAGAACAAGTCACAGCCACTAAGAGAATATCATGCAATAAAGTTAAAATAAAATAAAAATATCAAAAAACAAATGAACTTGTTTGTACACTAACACATTCACATAGAAATAAAATGCATACACATACACACAAGCAGCTATTTTTCGAATCTACACGCCAATTTTACATTTTTCTTTTATTTTAATGCCGAGCCTTTTCTGTCTCAATTTGATATTTTATGCAAATTTGGGGGATTTAAGATTTTTGACATCAAGTTTCATATTTTTGATCTTGAAACTCACAGCTAGTCCCCCTCAAAAAAAAATTCTATAACTTAGGCATCTATAAATATATTTAAAAAAAGATGACAAAAAACATATAAAAAAGCTAATAGTTATATATCTAATATATCCATCCATAGATGTTTCCGATGTAATAGCAAAAAATTATATAAAAAAGATTTTTTGTACCTTCTTATTAAGCTGAAACAAGTGAAAAAAAGTAAATATTGACAGAGTTATATTAGATACAGAAAACCAATTTTAATGTATAATATTAAAAACTTATAACAATTTAGAGCCTGATTTGAAAACTATCTTCGAATTATCGAAAGTTTTGATGTTTTGATCCAGAATTTTGAGGTTATGGGCCACAATTTTGAGATTATGATCCATAATTTTGAGGTTATGATCCAGAATTTTAAGGTTATGATCCGCAATTTTGAGGTTATAATCCAGAATTTTGAGGTTATGAGCCACAATTTTGAGGTTATAATCCACAATTTTGACGTTATGATCCAGAATTTTGAGGTTATGATGCAGAATTTTGAGGTTATGATGCAGAATTTTGAGGCTATGGGCCACAATTTACAGGTTATGATCCAAAAATTTGAGGTTATGATCCACAATTTTAAGGTTATGATCCACAATTTTGAGGTTATGATCCAGAATTTTGAGGTTATGATCCAGAATTTTGAGGTTATGATTCAGAATTTTAAGGTTATGATTCAGAATTTGAAGGTTATAATCCAGAATTTTAAGGTTATAATCCAGAATTTTGAGGTTCTGATCCAGAATTTTAAGGTTATGAGCCACAATTTTGAGGTTATGGGCCACAATATTAAAGTTATAATCCAGAATTTTAAGGTTATGATCCAGAATTTTGTTGTTATGAGCCACAATTTTAAGGTTATGGGCCACAAATTTGAGGTTATGGGCCACAATTTTGAGGTTATAATCCATAATTTTGAGGTTATGATCCAGAATTTTAAGGTTATGAGCCACAATTTTGAGGTTATGTGTCCCAATTTTGAGGCTTAACCCGATAAAAGTTTCAAAACAAACTCAAACAGGCGAAAAAGACGAGAAAAAAAACTATAAACTTTTTTAAAAATCTATAAAAATTCACATCAAATCACTTTGAGTCTAAAAATTGCGCGAAAAATTCGAACTTTTTCATTATTTTTCCTCCGAGATTCAAGAAAATTGACAAGATTTTCATCTATATCCATTCTTTCATAATCAAATTTGTATGTGATAAGAATTTAAAAAAAAAAAACAAGAAATTTATGAAAAAAATTCTTGAATAAAAATTTTGATTTAATTTTCAAGATTATTAAAAAAACCAAGCTAAAGAAAAAATCTGAAAAGTGTGTGTAATTTAAATGAAAAAGAAAAATCCAACTTCTACGTGGAAGTTCTTAGATGATTTATATAAAGAAGTATACATAAAAAATATATAAAAAATAACAACAAAAAAATCTGTAATCTGTATGATATATTTTAATGGAATTTATGAGAAAAAATTATTAATTTAAAAAATTGGTGTAATGAGTGTTGAAATGAAAAAACAAAATAATATATTTAATTAAACAGTGAAAATGAAAATATTAATAATTTTTAGAAGAGAAAAAAAAATGTTTTTTGTTGAGAAGAAAAATTTCCTTTTGAAAAATATTGAAAAATTGCGAAATTTAAAAAGAAAATGAACAAGTTTTGATGAGATTTTTGGGGAATTGGGAGCTTTGGTTGTTCAACTTCCGTGCGTAGAATCTGATTAATTGTTGAACTGTGGATTTAAAGTTTAATCTGGTGATTTATAGCTTGATCTGTGGATTTACAGCTTGATCTAATTATTAACAGCTTGATCTGTGAATTTACAGCTTGATCTATAGATTTACAGCTTAATCTGATGATTTATAGCTTGATCTATGGATTTACAGCTTAATCTGATGATTTATAGCTTGATCTGTGGATTTACAGCTTGATCTAATGATTAACAGCTTGATCTGTGAATTTACAGCTTGATCTGTGGATTTACAGCTTGATCTAATTATTAACAGCTTGATCTGTGAATTTACAGCTTGATCTATGGATTTACAGCTTAATCTGATGATTTATAGCTTGATCTGTGGATTTACAGCTTGATCTAATTATTAACAGCTTGATCTAATTATTATCAGCTTGATCTGTGAATTTACAGCTTGATCTATAGATTTACAGCTTAATCTGATGATTTATAGCTTGATCTATGGATTTACAGCTTAATCTGATGATTTATAGCTTGATCTGTGGATTTACAGCTTGATCTAATGATTAACAGCTTGATCTGTGAATTTACAGCTTGATCTGTGGATTTACAGCTTGATCTAATGATTAACAGCTTGATCTATGAATTTACAGCTTAAACAATGAATTTAAGGTTCAACCCCTAGCCGCCTGGAAGTAAATAATTCAAAAATTCCAAAAATCTACAAAAACTAAAGTTAAAACGTTCAAAAAACATGATACACATCAGATCAACAATCACTTACATTTTCACTTATTCTAAGAAGTTAAAAAAGTAAGAAAATAACGCAGACAAAGACACTCACTAACACACACATACACACAAACACATTTATACTTCTAATCTTACAATATGGATTGCACATACACGCACTTTCGCTCTTAAAAAGATAAAAAAAAGAAAATATTTAAGAAAAATGTTATTTTTCGATACTGAAAAAGTCAAAAATTAAAAAAAAAAAGTTTCGTGTCGTAGCTGAAAATAAAAACTAAAATTTAAGTTGCGAGTTCACATTAACATTTCCATTTACTAATCAGAAAAATGACTTAAAAATTGTTTTTAATTTTGCAAATTAATTCCCTCCTAATGATTATAAAAATGGCCATATTAACAAATTTAAACTTAGTTATTTAAAAAAAACTGAAGGTTGAACTTTTTTGACTGTTTTAAAAATTAATTTAAAATTCTTCTATTTTTAAAAAATCAATCGAAATATTAAAATTAGTTTCATCAAACTTTTTATTTCATAAATCATTTAAACATTTTAAAAACTATTCTTTTTATTAACATTTTTAAAATCTTTTCTCCTTGCCATAAAAATGAACTTTTCTACTTTCATTTATTTTTTTAAAACAATTATTTAATATTTCTTAAAATGTTTTCAAAAAAGTTGTTAAAAATTATGAAATTTGCATTTAGATGTTAAGTTGAAACTTAAAAAACATATTCAAAAAATTGATAATTTTGTGCTAAATTACTCAACTGCATTTCTTATCAGAGCAACTCAAACTAAAATTTAATTTCGAGTACAATTTAATTCAAATTATTTAAAGTGAAATAAAAATTATGATTATTAAAATTTGTTTTGTTTTAATTTTTTTCCACATTTTTTAGAATTTTTTTCGATTTATAAAATTTTTGAATCTTTTGATTTAAAAGTTTTGATTTTCGTAATTTTTGAAATTTCAAAAGCTTTAATAATTTTTGAAATTTTACTAATGTTTTGAACTCCAAGAAATTTTAAATTTGATTCAAATTTTCATAATTTAAAAAATCAACTTTTGAAATTACTAAAAACTTCAAAAATTGCATATCGTCCAAATTCACATTTACACAGAAAAGCCATTTTCAATTAAATTTCCACTCAAAAAGTTTTCAAAACTTAAGTTTTCCGATAGATTTCCACGCTAATGACCAGAAAAAATACAAAACAATTTAAAAAATTTATTAAAAACAAAAAAGCTTTTCCCGTCCAAATGAGAAAAAAAGTAAATTTAGCTTTTTATATTTCACATGAAAAAATGAAATAACTGAAATTAAATTAAATGCTGTAAAAATAGAACAAAACAAAAATCCAAAATAAATTTAATTTAAAAATCCTTAAAAAATCACAAAAAATTAATTTCGTGCAAAATCTTCAAAAAAAAGTATAATTTTGTGTAATAAAAATAAATATAAAGATAAAGACTATAAATAAATAAAAATAATTGTTTAGTGAAACCCAATAGAGTAAAAAATGTAATCACAAAAAACACACTTGAATGTTATTATGTATTTGAAATTTATTCACACACACGCAGTAAAGAGATGAAAATGTACACAAAACTACACCAAACGACACAAAATTAAAGTCACTGGAAATCAGGATTGAGAAAATAAAGGACTAAAGTGAGGAAAAACAGGAAAGAATTAAGAAAAATTTAAAATTGCGTCCAGTTTCTTGATGGAGAAAGAGATTTAAAAATAAAAATTTGATAATTTAATTTCTTTACAATTTCTTTTTTTGAATTTTTTGATTTTCTTAGGATTTTCTTATTTTTATGAAATTGGTTCAGAACTATTTTTAAAGAATTTAAAAGTCTTTTATTTTATTTAAAAAAATAAGTTTCAAGTTTTTTATTGTTTTTTTTAATTTTTGAAAAGTTTATTGATTTTGTTTTATTATTTCATAAAAAACTGGATTTTTGAGATAATTTAAAAAATGAAAAACAAATTAAAAACAAAAAAAAATCTTTTAAAAAAACTGATAGAGTAAAAAAATCTGTAAATGTACTTTTGAGTGGATTAAATAGAAAAGTGAAAAATGTGAAAATTTAGCATAAAAACGTAGAATCAGACAAAAAAACAAGTGAATGAAATATCAAGAAAAATAAGAAGAAAAGTTATTTTTAAAATTAAAATAAAGTCAAGAATTGAAAAAAATGTAGGACGAGAAAAAATTCTTATCACTTAAAACAAAACAAAAAAATTCGCAAAAAATAAGAAAAAAATCTTTAAATGTGGAATAATATTAAAAATAATGAATAATAAATAAATAATAAGAATAATAATAGAAAAAAAACGTCGACTGTTGTCCTTTAAGAAACAAAACAAAAAAAATATCAGAAAAAATTTCAATAAGTGAACAGAAAAAAAACTTGTAAGCTTCTAATAAAAATAAAAGGAAATAAAAAAGGAATAAAAATGGATGGAAAAATTGTTTTGAATTTTTTTTACAGATTTTTTTGAAGTTTTTTTCACATTTTTTTGAAGTTTTTTTCACAATTTAATTTTTTTGGTAATTTAAAAAATAATTGTTTAAGAGGGGGGACGGGGGGTAGTAGAGGAAGGAAAGGGGAGGGAGGGGAAGGGGAGGGGAGGGGAAGGTGAGGAGAGGGGGAAGGGGGAAGTGAGAATAGAGAAAGTCGGATCAAAACTTCCCCTGTTTGGAAATAATTCTTCAATTTGATATTGGTTTGTTACCAACCCCCCCCCCCCCCATCCCTTTAAAAACAACGACGTCCCTGGTTTCATCTGAACCACTTAAATTGCAAGTTTCTAAGCATGCATGTTATTTTTAAATCATTCAAATTCTTCTTATCCGATTGAGAAATTTTTTTCCTTTTTTCTCAGAGAAACCAACTCAAAAGTGCAAAAAAAAACGTGAGAGAATGAAGCAAAAATCGCGATCATTTTTCGTGTGCTTGCTCAGTTCCTATTCTTGTGTTGTCAACTGCAGACTCAACAGATAAAAATCAAGGTCAAATCATTATTTACTAAGAATAATGGTGAAAATACTTGTTGATTATTTTGCTGATCAAGCAGCTTTTCTGAAGAATTTTGAACAAGTTCGCGGTTCTCAAACTGATTTTGACACTGTTGTCATCAACAACATTCCAACTTTACAAACAGCCTCAAATCTAATCAATAATCTTGGATTTGAGCAGGAAATCATCGCGTTTCGAAAAGTTCAAGCTATTGTGCTTAGAATTAATGAAAAAATTGATGAAAGTTTTAATCAACAACTTAAAAAATTCAGAATAAAATACAAAAATGGCATTTTGGTTGCATTTCAATCGACGCTCAGCGGAGAAGAAAGCAAAACTTATTGGCAACTTACAGATGATGAAAAATACTTTTCAATTTATGTCAACGATGATCATGATAATGCTGCGGTTATGTACCTGCATAATTTTATTCTGGGTCAAATGAATGTTCATAGAAATGGTGAGTTTTTTAACAGCCTTAATCAGAAGCGTTGTTTGGGGTCAAGACCCCTCCCCCACCACCCCCAAATGTTGACAATAATTTCTTAAAGTCAAACCCCTTCCCCTCCTTCCCCTTTGAAATTTTATGGATACGCTCTTGGTTCGAATAAACCCTTACATTCAAGGGTGGGGGTGGGGGGGACCGCAACCTTAAATTCGACAAAAATTGAGTCACAACCCGCTGCTTTAAAAATTTATGGATAAGCTCTTGGTACGGATAAACCCTCTCATTCGGGTGGGGGGGGGGGGGGCGCAACCTCAAATTCGGCAAAAATTGAGTCACAACCTGTTTCTTTAAAAATTCATGGATAAGCTCTTGGTACGAAAAAAAACCCTCATTCGTGGAAAAGAGGGGGAAGGGGGTGGGGGGGAGTAACATATTTTTTGGGAAAGGGGGTTTGGGACTTTTTTCTCAAAAACCCTAGCAAAATGAAAAAAAATTTCGACTTCCCCCTCTTTATGTTGAAAAGTGGGGGCCTGGGGGGGGGGGGGGGGCTTGACCCAAAAACGTCTGATTGAGGAAGTTGATTTATTTTGGGATGGTTGGAATTTGAGGATAGACTGTGGGGAACAATATGATGAATTTTTTTAACCCACCCCATTGATTAGGACTAGGACCTCATTGATTGGAGGAGGGTAGGTTGAGAAATGGCGGGGAGGTGGGGGGAGGGGAAGAGGGGGGGAAGTTTATTATGAGCTTATATTATTATGAGCTTTTTAAGAAATTTAATTTTTATTTCATTCTTACATCCACCATACTCGACTCGCTCTTCATTTTCACCACTTTTACGTCCCTCCCCTAGCTGTATCCCTTGCTAATTCAACCTTAATAACAAATATAAATGAAAATTTTAGGAATCATCTCGACATCCAGTCAAACAACCACAAATCTTGATCTTAATGACATTGGCGATGAAAATGGCAACAATCTTTTATATTTGGCAGTTAAAGACAACAACTTGGAAGCAGTTGTGAGTTTTCTATCCAAAGGATTAGATCCAGAAGGTAACGAGTCATCTCCAGCTATTGATGCAGCATGGGCTAAGTTTAAGAGCATCAAAGATGATCAGAAAGAAAAGAGCAAGATTGAAAAAATTATGAAACTTTTGCTGAATGCTAATTCAAGATTTCCAACATCTAAGAACTGGTATGAAGATGAGATTGTTCCACAGGCAGTTAAGGACTTTCTAGAAAAGAGAGAGAATCTTCAAAGATTAGTTGATCATCCTGACTTCAACAAATTAAGCGAGGACATGTCTAAAGATGATAATTTAATTTTTTATTACAACAGGCACAACGAGTCCTTCTTGGTCTATGGATTAAGGACCAATAATTACAAAATACTCAGTTTAATGAAAGAAGGCTTAAGCATCGGCAGTCATGAAGAAGTAGATCAAGTTTATTACGAAGCTGAATCTGTCAGATCTTCAGAAGTGTGCAAAAAAAAATATCGAAAGTTCCATTGAGCTTCCAAATGCTCATCTTTTGATTCTCCAAAGTAAATCAAGGATTTTAAAGAACGACCAAAAAATGACGAGAATTTTCACAAAAAAGCTCATTGAAGCATGGGAAACGATCGATAATATTGACTATTGCTCAACGATCCTCAAAGTTGCAGCCAGTTGGAATCAAATCAAGATCCATTTTGACTGCAGTCGCGACAACACAATGTGGATGGATTATGAGTCTGCTCAACACACCAAAGCTAAAATTTTTAACAATGGACGAATTTTAATTGGCGCCAAAAATTTGTTTGATGAAAATGAAAAGTTTTTGGTTTTTGGCGCCATAATTCATGAGCTTTGTCATGCAGCAGTGCTTCTTATTTACAGAAATAATTTTAATCCATACAATAATGGAAGTAGTGATGATAAATTGAGGTACAAGCAGCAAGTCATAGCTGAATGTGTGAGAAATAAGGAATCAGATGTGCATGTTGGTAATGTGCTGGCATTGTACCGAAAAGTGGACCAGCCATCGGAGTTTATTGTGACTTATCCACAAATATTGGTGGAATATCTGGGAAAAAGTGACAAAATCATGAATTTTAATGCCAATTTTAATGAGCTGATTAAATACAGCCAAGAAGTTACTGAACCTGAATTTGTCTGTGGATTGTCGGTCATCAAAATGCTGCAGGATGACTCAAGGAAGGTCACATTTAATGATCTTACTAAGCCATTGCAAGTTAAAATTTTAAATTCTGAAGTTATTTATAAAGATTTGGAGTTCAACTTTCAGGACTTGTATGATGAAAATCCTAATATTGTCAATCAGCTGACATCAAATGGAATTAAGGACTTCCTGTTAAAATCAAAAGAAATTGTTCTGACAAACAATCACGTAGAAGTATTTGAGACGATTGTTGTTGTCTGATGGTTCGGAAGATCGTTATGTTGTGATCTGCAGCTTTCCTGGGTCAGGGATGTCAACATTTTTAAAATCAAAGGCACAGAAACTGAAAAAAGACAATAAAGGCATCATCGTAAGCTATATTAACCTCAACGACAATAAGAAGCACTTTGATGACTTTATGAATAATTCGTTGGATATAAAAAAAGTTGTGGAGCTGTTTGGTACCGAAAACTTGAAAGCTGAAGTTCGTGCGATCTACTTGCTGGATGGACTCGATCAGATTTGGACAAAATATGGTGAATTTTGGCTTAAAGTCTTTAAAATCATTAAACAAGAGTCAAAAATTGAGTTGTGGATTTCAGCAACACCTCGGCAAACTATGCAACTTGAGGATATATTCAATATCCAGGCAGTCAAGTTTGCATCACTTACAGACGATGAAATTCGAATATTCATCAAAAATAATTTAAAAATTGTCAAGACTGATGAAACAGCTGAAAAGATTCTAGAGTTCCTTAAATACTTGAAGACCCCAGAAGCCAGCTATGATTCAGAAATGAACAATCTATCATTAATCAAAGACATCACATCGTTGTACAATGAAAAGGAAACCATTCCAAGTCCATCAAATTTATATGAAATATTTTCAAAAATTGACAAAATTATGTATCGAAAGTTTTTAAATCAATTTGAGGACTGCTTTAACTCAAATATTTCGATTCAATCTTTGCATGAAGGTTTAGCATTAAAGACAATATTTGGTGATAATTATAAGCACAAAAATGGATTTAAGGTCAATGATTTGGTTGTTATCAGCATCAAATGGAAGAAATGGTGATTGAAAATGGACATAACCTCAAAAATGGTGAGTCTAACCTCAAAAATGGCGGGTTAAGTCTCAAAAATGAAAATCCTAACCTCAAAAATGAAAATCCTAACCTCAAAAATGAATATCCTAACCTCAAAAATGAAAATTCTAACCTCAAAAATGAAAATCCTAACCTCAAAAATGAAAATCCTAACCTCAAAAATGAAAATCCTAACCTCAAAAATGAAAATCCTAACCTCAAAAATGAAAATCCTAACCTCAAAAATGAAGAATATGGACTGAAAATTGAGAAAAATAACCTCAAAAATGGCCACAAATCAAATGAACCCAAGAAACATAACCTAGAAAATGAAATTGTCATTTCCGAAGTTCAAGAACCAGAAGTTCCAAGACTTAAACGCAAAGAATCTACCAAATTTGCCTCAAAGTTTGGAAAGTTCAATCCAAAATATTTCGAACCTAAGTTAAAGGCAACTAAATCTACTCTAGCATCCAGTGCTTCCAACATTTTTACATTCGCATCCAATGTCTCTCAAGGCATCTCTAACTTTACAAATGTTCAATCTAGAAGACTGAGCATAATCAGTAGAAGTTCTAACCTTAATATTGAAGAATCTGCTGAATCAAACCTGAATGCAGTTCAACATAACCTCAAAATTAATGAAATTCCAGTTCAATTTATCCACAAATCTTTTGTTGACTTTTTTGTTGCCAAATTTATTGTTGATTTTGTGACTGGAAATAATTCTGGAACTAACGACAAGGAAGTATCAAATGTCTTCAAACTTTTAGAAATTGTGGCTAAGGATGGCAAGAAATTCTTAAGAATTCGTAAATTCATCATGAGTTCCTCAGATTTACATTATTTTGATGAAAAAATCATAAAATTGGCAAACGAAAGAATTGCAAAAATTCACAATAAAATGCGACGTGACGTAATTGATGAAGAAACCCTCGATTCTTTTCAATTTTTCGCTAAATTATTCAAAAATGATGATAAAATGGAACTAAAGCTTTGGAATATTAACAAACAATCATATTGCAGAGCTGAAACATTGAAACTTTTGATTCAGGAAGGCCAGCAATTTGCAAATTATGCCAAAGACAACATTTTTGAGCCTCAAAATCTTCCAAAGTTCTTTCAAGATTTGAATATTTTTGAGAAGATTTTGTACCCAAAAGGTGAACTGAACATCAATTATGCTTTGAACTTAGCTGAATATTGCTTCGGACTGAATTGGCATGAAAAATTGAACCAAACTGGTGAAGAACTGGCAATTAATACTGAAAATGTTCCTGAAAATTTCAAAAATGATGAAAAAATTCAAAAACTTTGCAGTTTTGTAGATAAAAACTTTGAAGGTGAAGGTCGTGAGAAGTTTTACAAGGATTTTAAGGCCATTAATCAGATTTATATCAATTTCATTAACCATGGCTTACTACCAAATGTGCCATTATTCAAAAAAGGTTGTCCACCACTGCTTTAAACTTAAATTTATGAATAAATTTTTTTTTTATTTTTTCATCTATTTAAAAAAATTTATGATCTTGAAAATGGAGCTGCTGCATTTGTCCTTAAGTAGTAGTTTCCACGTTTAGATGTTACATCACCATGATATCCCATTGAAGCAATTTCTGGTCCTTTACATTTTTTCTCAGTATATCCAGTCACACCATCTGGACATCTTAGAGACATAAATAAAGGCATTGAACTCCTCACAGATTCTGCAAAATATAGCCACGATGTTCGATGATTGCAGCCTACACAATCCATGCCTTTGTCACCTAAAAATTACCAAGAACTCAAATTTGATCAACATTAAGTAATAAATTAGATTTCAAACCATTTGCAGATGGACATCTTTTACAGCTTGGCTGCTTACTTCCTCCATTTGGCCAAAAATCTAAATCTCCTGTTGATGCTGTTGTTCCTGTGAGTCCTGCATCTGTGTGTATTATGTCTACGAATCTAAATATTTAATTAACAAGATTGAGGAACTGTTTTTAAAGCTACTTGAGGTGCCTTGCAACAGCGGCGTAGCCAGGTCATTGAAGAGGGGGGACAAATTTTTTTTTTGTATTGAAAACTTTTTTTGGGGGGGGGGGGGGGGGGGGGGTTGTGGATTTTTTCGAGTTTTTCATTAAAACTTTAGCAAAACGAAGAAATTTCTCAAGACGAAGGGGGATTTGTCCCACAAATTACCCCCCCCCCCCCCCCCCCCCCCTCTGGATACGCGCCTGCCTTGCAATCAAGTTCGATGAATTACAATATGTGATATTTCTAGCCTAGGGTGAACCTAGTAGCTTTAACTCAAGTTTTGAAGTTTTGAAGTTTAACTCAAGTTTTAATTAAATACCTTGCATTTCCCCTTTGTAGACCAGAATTTGATGGAATTTTGAGAAGAATCGCAAAAATCTCAAAAACATTTTTTGCATTAAACGTTGGACCTGGCAAGAAAATATTTAATTAAGCTTATAACGGGCCGTTCACTTATGACGTCCGACATTTAGGAGGGGGAGGAGGATCTAGGATTTTGTGACAGTTCAAACAATGGAAATTTTTGTGACAGAGGGCGGGAGGGGGGTCTAAAAATCAGGTTTTTTGATGGACGTCATAAGTGAACGACCCCTAAGTAGATTGTAGGGTTTTTAAATCCCGGAATTGGTATGTATGTAATCCCGAGATTAGATTCGGTTCATTTTAATTCCAGGATTGAAAACCTAAGTGACACAGACCTGCAGGATCCAAACCAGTTATCCTTGGAATGAAAATATTATCAGCTTTTAGCATTTCTCCAATTCTTCCAAGCACATGAGCACCTAAGCTATGACCAACAAAGTGAATTCTTGTCAAGTCATATCCAGTTTCTTTGATTTTGTACAAATAATTTAAAAATGTTAAGGCAAGCTGGAAATAAGTTTGGAATTGATTGTGAATTAATTTTGATTAAACTCAAAAGCAGTGTTTCTCAAACTTTATTGGTCCACGGCTCACTTTTTTAAATAAATTACTTTCAGTGTGTCGGGGTCAGAGGCGTTGTCAGGAATTTGAAGAGGGGGGACAAAATTTTTTTTGTATGGAAATGGGGAGGAAATGGGGGGGGGGGGGGGAATGGGGGGGGGGGGGGTATTTTTGTGACTTTTTCATCGTACCTGGTCGGGATACATAGTTTGAAAACCACTGCTTAAAAGGATCAACACAGCTTGAACAGGAGTTCAGCATGATCCAAGTCCATTCCCGACTCAACTTACACGAGGAACAGATTCAGCTAAAGCTACATAATTATGATTCCATGAATAAAAGCTCCAGTCACCAACGATAATGTTGCAATCATTTCTATGTAAATAAGCTTCAACTAGCTCCTTCCCAATTGCTTCCCTAAAACCATCCCTCCATCCATGAAGTATAAACACACTCGGTCTACTTGCATTGAAATAATTTACACTTATAACTTCACTGAAATTCAAACCATTTCTCAATAGTGTATAGTCATTGTAGCTTGAACCGATAAAAGCTAAGTAAGCGGAATCAAAGTTAGCTGATGTTGATGCTTTATTGGCTAGAATGACTACAATGAACAAAATAAGCTTCATTTCGGAGGGAAAAAATTATTTAAACTGAAAAAAGAAAGAAGCAAGTATGAAGTTTTTTATGACTGGAACAGCTGAAAGACATAAACAGCTGATAAAATAAAGTTTAAGTCACGGCGCTGACTTAAAGGTATTTAAATTTGAGTGAAATACAATAAAATATTGAATTCTAGCTTTATTATTTGGTATGTTTTGATATTGTCCAGCACTCAAGTCTTAATCTACAATATTTGAGTTCAAATCGGTGACAAAACTTGTCATACTCGACTAGGTGAGTAGCCAGGAGGGTTTTGTCCCCCTCTTAAGCATTTTAGGCCGTACTCTCAAGACCCTCCTGGCTACGCGCCTGTAACTCGACAAACTTAATCATTATTGACTAAAACTAGTAAAATTTTAATTAAAATCGTATATTTCGTAACTAATGAATCGGTACAATACAAGAATGAGGCAATTTAGGTACAACCGGTACCACTTAGACTAGATTCTAAGTCTATCTAGCTTTACCTTAACCTAGAATCTAAGAAACTCTAAACTAAAGATCAGGATTGATTGTGACTAGAGTAGGATAACCTTACAAACCAGCACCTGATATATTATACTGACTAAACCTAATATGATCCACTGGTTCACCTAGCTAGGTAGATCCCAGAAGATTTAACTTCAAAATTACAATTTTCCAATCACTTAAAAAGAATAAGGCACAGTAGCACGTGTGGCAAGATAATAATTTCCAGGTTGAGAACTCCTGCTTGCATGAAAACCCATAAAAGCTGTCTCTGATCCGGTGCACGTGTGATTGTCATACACAAATATATTTTTGGGACATTTTATGGCTTTAAAATTTGGAGTTTGACTTCTCACTGACTCAGCATAGTAAAGCCACGATGCAGCATGTTCACATTCGTTGCAGCTGATTGCGTTCAATACTTTAGAAAAAAATTAGAATTTTATATTTGGAGTTTAATAGTTCTTGGTAAACTTACAATCAACCTGACCACATCCAACACAATGCGATTGTGTTTTACCACCATTTGGCCAGAAATCTAAGTCACCAGTTGAAATAATGGTTCCAGCAACGCCTGCATTTGAATGGATGATGTCAACAAATCTGGAATAAATGATTGACAATAAGTTGTGGCCAGAGCTCGAAGTCTATTCGAGATTTTCATCGATTTTGTATGGCTGAGTCGACTCAATACAAAATTTCATCGACTTCGAACTCTGGTTGTGGCTTAATACGAGGACATTTTGACTCAACTTACTTAGCATTTCCTTTAACAAGCAAATTATTGCCAGGTAGAGTGACTTTGATGCCTAGAATATTTATTGTCACTGGATATGTGAAAAGTGGACCTAAAAAGGCAAGTAATTGAGAAAGATTGGGTAAAGCTGAACAAAGGGGACAACAACATAATGGGAAACAATTTTGTTAAGAAATTTTTACACTAATTTTCTTATTCTCTGCAAAATGTTGATGGAAAATGAGCAAGGCATTGCTGAGAACCAGTGACGCAACTTGACATCAAATCGAGTCAACTAATCAATTTCCCACAAAGTTGTTCTCCCCTTGAGCTAACCTCCTGGATAAAAATTCAAAAAATTATAAACTCACCAGCTGGGTCCAGTCCCGTGATTCTAGACAACAAAATGTTCCGTGACTGCAAAAGTTCTCCAATTTTCCCAGCCAAATGTGCACCAAGACTATGACCGACTGCATAAATTTTTGTCAAGTCATATCCTGCTGACTTAAGTTGATTTAACAATTCAATGTATGTTTTGGCTACCTAAAATTGTAATATAAATTTGGTGGATGTTTGATGGGAGGTTGGGGTTGTTGGCATTAAACCTCTATCAGCTTTACAGCTGGAGGACAGACAGACAAACAGATAGAAAGACAGTTTGTGAATTGAATGATAACCAGACAGCCATAAATAGAATTACATATAAATTAACAGGCAATAATAGTGATAGTAAGGAGGACAGCCAAGAAGTTTGATAAAGCTACAACCGGACAGCCAAACGAACCAATAAGAGATACTCACTTCAGAAATCGCTCCAGTAGCTGCAACATAATCACCAATATCAGCATATCGACTCCAATCAGCAAAGATTATGTTATATTCAGGTCTTGTAAGGAAGGCATCAACAAGTGTGCTTGTTATCTCATCTTGGTAGTTTTCTCTCCATCCGTGGATGATTAAAACAGTCAATTTACTTGAATCGAAGTATTTTGTGCCAATTATGCTGGATATATTGGAACTAATTGACATGTTCTTGTAGTCACTGTGATTTGATCCAATAAAAATCAAATATGAGCTGTTGAATGTTAAAGCTGAGCTGGATTTGATGAAGAAAATCAGGAAAATTGTGAAAATTTTCATCTTGATCGAATGAAATTGAGCAGCAAACTGAGATAAAATTAGAACTTCCGTCTTGATTTTGATTTCATTTAAATAAATTAATTTTCTTTTCCAGAAACATCTAAACAAATAATTTTTTATCACAATTTCACCTTAAACATGACTTTACATGCCTGATAAGAAAGCTAGTGACATTGTAAGTTTTTTAGAATTTATTCAAATATTAGATTAGATGGTTTGGAAGGTTTAGTTCCAATTAATTTGAGTAACGTACTTGATGGGAATGTAGAGTCAAGCGTATGTGATCAGCATGAAGTTTTTCGACTTTGCAGCTATGATATCTAAATATTTTCAGTCTCTGACATTGAAAACTTGTGTTTTAAAAAACATTTTATAAAGTTTTTGTCAGCTTTTGTCGTCATAACTTGACGAATAAGTAAACTCAGCTGCAGAATGACTTTTAAATAGATTAGTGTAAAAAAAAGAAATAAAAATAAGTTAAAAAAAAATAAAAAAAAAACATTTAAAATATTTTTAAACTATAAATGTTATAAAAACATTTCAATTAAGATTCCTTTGACTTTATTTCAGTTTCATTAAGGAAAGTCAAATTATTAAAATACAAAAAATTTAAAAACATTTAAAATTTTGGAAAATTTTGAATTTTTGGAAAATTTTAAAATTCTTGGAAATTTAAAATTTTCAAAAAAATTCAAAATTTTTCAAAAAATTTAAAATTTACAAGAATTTTAAAATTTCCAAGAATTTTTTAAAATTTTCAAAAAATTCAAAATTTCCAAGAATTTTAAAATTTTCCAAAAATTCAAAATTTTCCAAAAATTCAAAATTTCCAAAACAATTCAAAATTTTTCAAAGAATTTATAAATTTCAAAAATTTTAAAATTTCCAAAAATTTTTTAAAATTTTCAAAAAATTCAAAATTTCCAAGAATTTTAAAATTTTCCAAGAATTTCCAAAAATTCAAAATTTTCCAAAAATTCAAAATTTCCAAAACAATTTAAAATTTTTCAAAGAATTTATAAATTCCAAAAATTTTAAAATTTTCAAAATTTTTTTAAAATTTTCAAAAAATTCAAAATTTCCAAGAATTTTAAAATTTTCCAAGAATTTTAAAATTTTCCAAAAATTCAAAATTTTCCAAAAATTCAAAATTTCCAAAACAATTCAAAATTTTTCAAAGAATTTATAAATTCCAAAAATTTTAAAATTTCCAAGAATTTTAAAATTTTCCAAAAATTCAAAAATTTTCAAAGAATTCAAAAATTTTCAAAGAATTCAAAATTTCCAATTAAATCGATTAAAACAATTTGGAATATGGCCAAGCTTTATTAGTTTCCAGCCAGTAAGAACCAGCAGTAGCTGTGCTGCTTGCAAAGAATCCCATATTAGCTGATGCTGATTCTTTACATGATTTTGATGACTTTATCAAAGTATTTTTCTTACAGAGTTTAGAGTTAAAATTGGGAAAGAAGCTCCTGACTGACTCTGCATAGTAGTAAAAAGCTGCATCGTGGCTGCATGTTGAGCAATCTTCAACCTTATAGATGACTATGAATCATGAATTAGAATCAAATTTTTCCTTAAACCAGCTAATTTACCTTTAGGGAATGTGCAGTTTTTGTCACATTTAAGCTGAGTCACTCCACCATTTGGCCAGAAATCGACATCACCCATAGCAACATCAACGCCTCTGTACCAGAATGCATTTGTATGAATGACATCGACAAAGCTAAAATTTAATTTCAAATATATTAACCAAAAATTCATCATTTGGATGTGCTTACCTGGCATCTCCTTTGTACAATGTTTTAAATGGTGTCTTATTACCTTTGGCACCAAAAATTTTTACAGTCAATGCAGCCCAATTGTAAAGAACACCTGACAAAGATTTAAAAATAGTTTCAGGAATTGTAAATTGTAAATTTAACTAAACCTGTTGGATCAAGTCCTGTAATTCTTGGCAATGTGGTATTTTGGTCCTTTAAAATTGATCCAATTCGACCTGCAACATGTGCTCCAACACCAAAACCAACTGGATAAATTTTTTTCAAGTCATAACCAGCAGTCTTTGTCTTGTTTAGAAGGAAGACAAAGTTGTCAGCCATCTGTAAGATTAATGTGAATTAAAGGTTATGTTTGAGTCGAGGAGAAACAACATTATGGGAAATTGGTATTAAAAAGTTCTCTCATCATGTTGTTTTCCCCTTTAGTATTAGTCTTTAATTAAGTATGTGCCAGAATTGGAGTCAACGAAGTGATCGAGAGTCTGACAAGTAAAGCCATGTGGACGAACAGACACAACAACAGCTTCATTGCTGATATTCAAATCCAGAGTGACTTTGGAATGTTGCCGGATTCGAAAACAAGAGTCCAGAGTCGAGCTGACTTGATGCTGGATTTCTGATCGATTACCCGACTTGTGCTGTTCAGGTTACTTACGTCATTGAGATTAAGCATCATTTTAAGATAAAATTCTTCAGAGTATGCACCCCAATCAGCCAAAATGATGTTATAGGTAGATGATCTAGTTGCAAAGGCACCATGCAATTCCTTTACAACATCACTTGAGTAATTTTCAACCCGTCCATGAATAATCAAAGCACTCAATTTTGTCATGTCGAAATAAGCAGTTCCATTAATAGCGCTGAAATTTCCAGTCATTGTCAAATTTTTATAGTCATTGTAGCCGGTCCCAAAAAATCGCAAGACAAGTTTGTCAAAATCTGCAGCATAGCAGGACGTGGCGAATATTGTGAGGATTATCAAAAGCTTCATGTTGATCACCTGAAGGAAAGTATTAAACTGATGAGAGAATTAATAAATATTGAACTATTTTGTGCAGCCAACAACTGATCAAATGGAATTGAAATAAACTATTTTTGGAAACAGACTTTTTTTTGCTGTGGCTTGAAATGAATTTCATCATTTAAACACTTGAAATGGCGCATTTGTCCTTAATGCTTAAGATAAGGTTGAAAATAAGATGATTTTAAGTTCACAGTCATTTATTTTATTTTATATCAATCTGTCCACATCAATAAGAGTAAGGAGCCGTAGCTTTTGTCGTAAGATAATAATCTCCTGACCTTGATGCTCGGCTAGCATAAAACCCCATTGATGCTACTTCAGGTCCTCTACATAACATAGCTAAAGGTAAAATCGATCCAGACTTGCATCTTCTAGCAGTAAATATAGATTCAGAGCTTCTGACAGATTCAGCATAGTAAAAAGTGGATGCTAAGTGATGGCATGATGAACATTTGTCCAGGTTCTTAAAAACTTAAGGCAAAATTTAGTAAAAAATTGAGAGATGACTAAAAGACTTACGGTTAAGGAAGCCACATCCTGTGCACATTGGCTGGATACTGCCACCATTTGGCCAAAAGTCTACATCGCCAGTTGAGAACATCAAACCTCTGAACCAGCCAGCGTTGCTATGAATTATGTCGACAAATCTGTAAATAGAATCGGAGATGTTAAATTTCTGGTCAATGGCTTGACTGTTAAGCTGTATATATGCTTGTAATATGATGATTAACCTGATTGTGTATTTCATAGAACCAGTTTTAGTTCACTAGCAAATATGAACAAATTATCAAGAATTCATAAACTTACTTTGCATTCCCTTTTGTGAGTGGCTTAAATCTAGGAAAAAATACATCACTTCCAAAAATTTTCATTATTAGTGCCGTCCAGTTGAACAAAGGACCTAAAACATTTAAAAATTAATATTTGAACATGTAAATCAGATCACTTACCAGCTGGGTCAAGTCCTGTGATTCTTGGAAGGAAGACATTTTGAGACTGCAGCAAAGTTCCAATTCTGCCAGCCATGTGAGCACCAAGACTGTGACCGACAATGTAGATTTTTGACAAATCATAGCCAAAGGTTTGAATTTTATTTAAAAGTCGAACAAATTTTTGAGCCACCTGTGGAAAAATTTGTGAAATTTGATGATTTATTTGGCAGATGCAGGAAGATAGGGAGGGATAAGGAGGGATAGAGAGGAATAGGGAGAGATAGAGAGGAATAGTGAGGGATAGGGAGGGATAGGGAGGGATAGGGAGGGATAGGGAGGAATAGGGAGGAATAGGGAGGGATAGAGAGGAATAGGGAGGGATAGGGAGGGATAGAGAGGGATAGGGAGGGATAGGGAGGGATAGGGAGGGATAGGGAGGGATAGGGAGGAATAGGGAGGGATAGGGAGGGATAGAGAGGAATAGGGAGGGATAGGGAGGGATAGGGAGGGATAGGGAGGGATAGGGAGGGATAGGGAGGGATAGGGAGGAATAGGGAGGAATAGGGAGGGATAGAGAGGAATCGGGAGGGATAGGGAGGGATAGGGAGGGATAGGGAGGGATAGGGAGGGATAGGGAGGGATAGGGAGGGATAGGGAGGGATAGGGAGGGATAGGGAGGAATAGGGAGGAATAGGGAGGGATAGAGAGGAATAGGGAGGGATAGGGAGGGATAGGGAGGGATAGAGAGGAATAGGGAGGGATAGGGAGGGATAGGGAGGGATAGGGAGGGATAGGGAGGGATAGGGAGGGATAGGGAGGAATAGGGAGGAATAGGGAGGGATAGAGAGGAATAGGGAGGGATAGGGAGGGATAGAGAGGAATAGGGAGGGATAGGGAGGGATAGGGAGGGATAGGGAGGGATAGGAATGATTAAAAGGCAACAGTATGAACCAAACAGAGACAAACTCGAACCAACTTACTTCAGACATAACATAAACAACATCCAAATATCCCCCATTAGCTCTCTCACTCCAGTCAGCAAATATAACATTATATTCAGGTCTTGTCAAAAAAGAATCAACGAGTGACTTTCCAATTCGTGTCTCGTAGCTTCCTTCAAATCCATGAATGATCAAAACACTCAATTTGCTTGGATTGAAGTAGTTTGTGTTAAAAATTCTATTAAAGTTTAAATTTATAGTCAAGTTTTTCACGTCGTTATAGTTTTGACCAATGAACAGTAGTTTTGAACTGTCTAGCAAGTCTGCTGAGCAAAATTTCAAAAAAATTATATAAATTATGTAAAATTTCATTTCAAAACCAAATTTTAAACATCTTCAATTCGCAACTGAATCGAAAAAACTGAATAAAATATAGATTTTGTCTTTTTTTATTTAAATTCTCAAATCATGTATTTTACAAAACATTCAACAAAATCACGTAACTTAGACAAACTCGTCTATTTTGAGTATGGTGGAGAATCATTAGTTTCAATATAATAATCTCCATTTTTGGCATTTTCGTTTGCATGAAATCCCATTGAAGTTTTATCGCCATTACAGAAGAATCTCATCAATATCTTTGTATGGCATCTTTCAGCCTCAAAAATTGGAACCGTGCTTCTCACAGATTCAGCATAGTAGCGCCAAGATGCGATATGACTGCACATGGAACAATCTTTATAGTCTTTAAAGACTTCCAAGAAAAAAAGGTTAAAAATCAATTATTTGAAGATTTTTAGACCTCCGACCCCACCCAAAGTGTTGGACGTCATTAACGAATAATCCCCAAGCTAGACAAACAAAATTAATTCAAACTTACTTTTAGAAATCTTGCATTCATCGCAATGAGGTTGAAAAACGCCACAATTTGGCCAGAAATCTTGATGGCCGTGCGAAATAAACGATCCTCGGTAAAGTCCAGCATTTGTGTGAATAATGTCTACAAATCTAAGATCAAAAATCGGTTAAGCTCTAGATTAAAAATCATAGAAGTTGTCTTACTTTGCATCATCTTTTGAAAGAGGCGTGTGATCAGAGGAACTGATTTTGAACATCTTTTTCTTAATTGCAGGATAGTCAAAAAGTGGACCTAAAAGAAACTTTGTTAAAACATTTAAAACACCAACTTTAAAAGTCCTTTACCAGCTGGATCGAGTCCAGTGATTCTAGGCAATGTAATATTTTGATGTTGAAGGAGATTTCCAACTCGTCCAGCAATATGAGCTCCAAGACTATGTCCAATGATGTAGACTTGCGTTAAATCATATCCATCATCCATCATCTTGTTCAAAAGGTAAACAAAAACGCTGGCAATCTGTGGAGAGGAGTTGAAATCAATGATGGAACACTTTATGGCAGAGGTGGGTAACCTTTGAGCCACGGCACTCTAATATCACAGTAGAAAAAAATTACTATGCGGTTTTGGTCATGGTTTAACAGCCAAGTGTGCCGTGTTCTAAAAAAGGTTGTCCACCACTGCTTTATGATATATTAGGTAAGATCCTAGATAAGACCCTAGAGGACAGTGTCGAACAAAGCACTTACATGATCAATTTCATGAGTTATTTCCGAATAGTCATCAAAAGCATAAGCACTCCAATCAGCAAAGATCACATTGTGATCCTGTCTAGACACGAAAGCTTTCACTAATTCTTTAGCCATTTCACTTTTATAATCTGCTTCATAGCCATGAATAATCAAGGCAGTCGGCAAAGCACGAGTAAAATATCCCATTTTACGAATTGGACGAATTGCACAATCTTTAGTTAAGGATTTATAATCTGAGTAATTTGTGCGAGTTAACTTAAAATGTATCGATTCATGTGACGATTCATGAGAGTCAGTTGATTCCACCAAGCAGGACTTGATGACAAATAAAAGAAGGATGATCAATAATTTCATCTTATTTCACTGAAATAAAGTTTTATACTAAAAAGACGTAATTGAATATGGTACTCAGTAGCTTAGTGTATTAAACAACTGTTCAAATAGCTGCTTTAAATATAGTACTCAAGTGTTTAAGCATTGAAGTATGGCGATGGGAATTATTTGAAGCATAAGGAGCGATTAATGAGTAAGGTTTTGTTATGGATTTATTAATTCTATACTTTATAGTTCTTTCGGGTTGAACATAACTTGCTAGAATAAACCGTAGTTCCATTGAGCAGTGATGGTCAACTCATGTGTCACGGCACAGTAGTGTGCTTCGAAAAACCCATGAACCGTTTGTTGTGTGCGGTTTTGTTCATGACTCACCAACAAAGTGTTCTGTGTCACAAAAAAGGTTGTCCAGTTAATTATAGTATAAATAACAGTCTGTTGCAAAAAAAAATTCATATAAAAAGGCTTTGTAATTCAACGGTTTTTTGAGATTCAAAAATTTTTAATGGTTGAAATAAATTCGAATTTCTAAACGCTCTCATCACGTGGTTTTTCATATGAAATATAAAAATCATTAATTAAAGTACAAAAACACTGTTTCAAGACTTTTAAATGCGATTCCCGAAAATAAAACAATGGACCTTAGCTAATACAACAAACTAGAACTCTCTACGATGTCCAGTTAAAAAGTTTTTCTCCGCCCGAACGAACGAACAAAGTGAATTATTAAGCTACCTTTTCGAAACAAGATTCAAAAATGCGTTAAAAATAGTTAAGCCAACAATTTATTTAATTTTGAATTCTGCTCGACAACATGTCAATAATCGAGTTCATATGCCTGGTTAAATTTTGATAGTCTCGGTATTGTTGCTCATGATTCACAACTTGTTCTGTCAAAATGATTTCTTGTCTTCTTAAATTTGCAATCTTTATCATGTTCTTTTTGTGCTGGACTTGTCGCTCCTTTAACAAATTATTGAGCTCCAGTTGGAGTGATTGTTGGTTTTGTTGAAGCTTCTTGATGATTTTGAAGTCTTTTTTGTTTGATTTTTTGTGTTTTTTGAAGATTTTGGATGGTTTGGTGAATTTTTTTGATGATTTTTTGGATCTTTTTGATGTTCTTTTGGTCCTTTTTGATGATTTTTGTGATTTTTTCGATGACTTGGTTGCTACATTGACTTCAAAAGTTGATTTTGAAGCTTCCTGCGTTGATGAAGCTTGACAGACATCAATTTTATCTATTAGAACACTTGACGATGTTGAATTGACCATGATTAAGTTACTTAACCTCAAAATTAAAATTTTAATGACGATTCAACCTATTCAGATGTGAGTTAAAGCAGATTCTGAATCAGAATGAACATGAAGGTTAAATCGTAAGTTTTTAAACAGAATTCAGGTACATAACCTCAAAACTCTAGAATAAATAAGTTTTAATGACAATAATACTCAGGTAAGTGAAGGTTAGTGTGTGACTTGCCCCCCTATTTTCCTCCTCCCCCTCTCTCCCTTAACAAACTTCTAACCCCCACTCTGATCCCAAAAACACTACAATCACTCCTCGTCATCCACATCATGTCCAACCTCCTCTAAAGTCTTTAAAAAATAATTTCCAGACGTTGAATTTTTACTAGCTTGAAATCCCATTATGGTCGATTCAGGTCCTTGACAATTTTGTTCTGAAAATTCTGTTGAGTTTTCTGGGCACTTAAAAGCCACAAAAATTGGGTCCTTGCTTTTCACAGACTCAGCAAATAGCTTATAAGCAGCAGAATGGCTACATTTGCGGCATTTAAAGGAGTTCATTGTTGAATCTACAAAAAATTAATAAATTGAGAGAGTAAATATGAAAATGAAGCCTTACTTTTAGTTTTGTTGCATGCAGCACATGATGGCTGAAATGATCCACCATTAGGCCAGAAATCGAGGTCACCAGATTGAATTTTTGAACCAGAAAGTCCCGCATTTGAGTGGATTATGTCCACAAATCTGGAAATATTGTTTAAAAGTCAATGAAGTTGAATGTTAAGTTGAACTTACTCAGCATTTCCTTTGGATAATGTTTTAAGGATGTGAAGTGAAACACGGTTTTTAAAAAATTTCATGGTTTTGGAGTCGATTGGGTCTTCTTTAGTGAATAAGGGACCTGGAATTGAGGAAATAATGTTAAGTGACTTGGGAAGTGGGGTTGCTTGGTTTGTCATAGGCTGTAGCTGCTGCTCAAGGGTTGCGCTAGCATTATAGACACTCTAGCTTATGATTAGAGTTTGCCAAGCAACTGTTCTCAATAAAGACTCAAGCGCGTAGCCAGGGGGGGGTGGGATTTTTGAGACAAATCCCCCCAACGTAAACAGAAAGTTCTTTACTTTGCTAGGGATTTTATGAAAAAATCACAAAAATACCAGCCCCTCCCCCCTCCCCTTTAAAAATTTTGTCCCCCCCCCCCCCCTCTTCAAATTCTTGGCTACGCCCCTGTAAAGACTCCATAAACAACAACACCAGCAATAATCACATCTTACCAGCAGGATCTAGTCCAGTAATCCTTGACAATGTAATGTTCATAGCCTTGAGCTTTTCACCGAGTCTAGCAGCAACTTGTGCACCTAAACTGTGACCAATAACATGAATTTTGGTCAAATCGTAGCTTTCTGACATCTTATTAAGGAGTAGTAGGAACACTTTGGCTACCTATGAAACATGAAGCATAATTAATGAATTTAAAAGAAAACTCCGACTTACTCCAGGCACAGCCTCAACAGCATCTCTATAATCCAAATCAATAGCCGTTGATCCCCAATCAGCAAATATTAAATTATACTCAGGTCTGGTCAAAAAGGCATCAACTAAAGTTTTAGCCATTTTAAATCTATAATTATTCATCCATCCATGAATAATCAGCACACTTGGCTTCTCTGGATCAAAATAAGTTGTGTTGTTGATTTTTTTGAACTTTCCGACTACATAAAGTGATTTAAAGTCTTTGTAGCTGCTGCCAATGAACTTAAAGTGTGATAAATAATTAAAAAAAGCTGAACTTTGTGCAACAAAAATAATTAAAATTATTAAAATTTTCATCTTTATTCTCAAAAATACAAATTAAAACTGAAAGGTTTATTTACAATTTTTAAATAAATAATCAAGAGAGAAGAAAAAATCCCCAAAGTCACGTCACAAAAAGTGCTGATATGAGAGTCGTTTTTTGTGCTCTTTGTTATCTGTGACTGTTCATGCTGCTCATTCATGTCATCTCAAAAACTCACATCATTCTCTGAGAAAGAATTATGAAATTCTGTTTATTCGACAGACTCAGAGGTGGAGATCAGGTGTGCTCAACCTTTTTTGTATCAAGACACTCTTTGATGATAAGACATGACCGAATTTGCAGGCAGCAATCGATTCGTGAGATTTTCTGAATTTTTCACATTAGTGTGCCGCGACACATTAGTTGAAAATCACTGGTTTGTGAATCAGTGCGGTGTTGGTCATGGCTTACTTGGCCGTTCACAAAAAAGGTTGGACACCACTGATGTTCATCGAAAGTCTACCAGGAGAAAAAATTTAAGTTTGAGGAGGCTTCGTTATTTTTAATCATAACCTTAAGTCATAAAGTGTAGTTTAACACCCTCACCTCCACTTCCCTACCCCCTCCCCTACCCCCCTCCACCCCCCCATTCCTCATTCCATATTATGAATTGTTGTTTGCATCTTCAAAACTATTTTTTCAGTCCAGAACCCTCTTTAACTGTTCCTTTTTGAAACTTTCTGATTTGTTGTCCACAAAAAGTTTCTTAACTAGCTTCATAGCTGCCAATGTCAGTTTAAACTAAAGCTAGTGATTCTAAAGTACTTAAAAATTCCTTAAAAAATGTTTGACTTAATTACAAAATTTTCGTCAGTTCTTCAAACTTTTTCCGATGATTTTCAAGTCAATCTTCAAAAGTTTGTGAAAAAGATCGAACTTAGCAGCTGCAAAAGCCTCAACGAAGCCATCAATGCCATCAAATTTGAAGATTCTGAAGATCCAGACTTAGTTTATCTAGTCAAAATCGACATCGAGGATGATTTTGAATGGTTTGAGCCTCAAAATTATCCAGAATTCATCGAGAACTGCAGCAGCAAGTCAATTGTCATGTTTTTGACCTCAAAAAGTTTCTTAAATTTCCAAATTGCTTGGAAGTCGAATGAAATTGATCATTTTATGATCCTCAAGCCTTACTCGTTGCTGCTCACTGAAGATGATGAAGAAGTTTATGAATTTATTGCAGATGTGCTGACTAATTCCTTAAAAAATCGTCATATTGGAATTGACAAAACTTATCAACTCAGTCTTGACATCAATCAAGTCGATGTCTACCAAATTGCTGACCATCGTGGCTTAAACTTGCTGTCAATTGCTAAACAAGCTGAGAATATCAATTTAATCACCAAATTTGAGAGCCTGAAGCTGTACTTAGTAGACCAAGATCGAGGATCACATCTACAGACAACAGCAATCAAATATGGGCATTATGATGCAGTCTTAGCTTTATATGGGCAGGACATCCCAATAAAGTTAACAGAAGACACTGAAACCTGCTCAGAGGAACTAGTTATGTTCTTCCAGAAGCTCGATGACTTCAATAAAGCTATAAAATCAGGCGAAATGAATAAAGTCATTGAAATATTCCATCAATTGCCAGTATCAAGTCACTGCTATAATTTAAAGAACGAATCAGCACTTAATGTTGCCACACAATGCAAAACTTGGAAGCCTTATGAGTTCCTGTGGAGTAAAGGCATCCGTTTTGCACCGCACGAGTCACCTCTTCAAATCTTCAATAATGTTGTCTTCGAGCAGGACATGGTCAGGAAAATATACATCAAATATGCCCATAAGAGTCAGGAACAGCACATAAGCATCCTCATGTCCAAAACTGCTCTGTTTAATGACACTGAAGATTGTGAATATAAATTGAAGCTCATCAGAAAGGCTTACAAAATTCTCAGCTTTAATATATTCATCAAACCACTTCTCGAAGTCATTGCTGAGTCCAGGCACGTAAAGATCAACTTTGACTTTAACAAAGATGCTGGAAGTTCCAACAGCTGTAGACTAAGTGAAATAACAGGTAGAATTTATATTGGAGCTAAGCAGATGTTGACAGAAGCTACGAAACTTGAAGCATATGGAATCTTAGCTCATGAGCTATGCCACATAGCACTTGATCTGGTCTACAAAAATAAAGGCAAGCCATATTCAGTTGGTGACCAAAAAACGATGGAAGAATTTGCAGAAATGTCTAAAACAAGCGAAGCTTCCAAAAATAGTCAACACCTCATTCGGAATGCCTTTGACAGCTGTAACCAGGATGCAGAGCTGATTGGCTGTCTAATCCATGTGCTGGCTTTGTATCAGAAGGATCCAGAAAAGTTGATTGAACTTAAGAACAATTTTGGCGAGCTTTTAAAATTCTACAATAAGAAAATAATGCCAGAATTAAAACAAGCACTTCCAGAAATCAGAAAAAGAGCTGCAGTTGACTATCAAGAGCTTTATAAGTATTATGAGCTGTCCACTGAGGATATGGCAAAGGTTCAAAGTGCTGTTGTCATCTATAAAGATGTAAAAGTTCAATTTAAGGATTTATATCCAGAAAATCGACAAGTTTATCGAGATTTGACTGTAGATCATCTGCTGTATCTTATGGATGGTCTAACCTTGAACTTATCTGATCCTTATTTAAGTTATTTGAATGATCAAGTCAGGCACAGCTGGGAGAACTTAGCAGAAACCTTAAAAGACAAAGTTTTAGAGTCAAAACTGTACTTCCAAAATGAAAGCTTGCTATTCTCAGAATTGTACATCAAATGTCCAAAATCATTTGAGGCTTTAACATCTTGTCAGATTGGTGATGTGCTGGATGGAATTGAGCTGAATTTATATCCAATTCCAATGAATCAAAAGAGTTTTTACATTGAAAGGGAGTTTTTGTGTGACTCAACTTGGATGGAAGATAAAGGCTGTGTCAGGAGTAGCAGATGTGATTATGGCAACCAAGAGCGTCAGGAACAGCTAGCAGCTGATGTGCACAATGCTAAAAGCTCTGACAAAATCTACTATTTTGAGGAACAAAACTGTAAAAACAAATTTCATAGTTTTGACGACATTCTGGACATAACTGAGCATTCAAGGATGTTCATCTTATCATCTGAAGCTGGAACCGGCAAATCAACAACATTTGAGGAACTGACAATCAGAATTAAGCAAGCTTTCCCCAACCGTTGGGTCTCATACATCGATTTGAAGGATTATATCCAGCTGTTTACCAAAGTTGAACATCAAGAGGATGTACTAAGCCTCCTTAATGCCATTCTGAACCTACAATGCAGGAACAAAATTGAACAGAAAATGTTTGAGGAACTATTCAGCTCTGGCGAGGTCGTCTTGCTGTGGAATGGATTTGATGAAGTTTCACCTGCTTACAGTGACTTTATAATTCATTTGCTGACCACAATCTACAGAAACACTAATAATATTCAGTATATATCCACTAGACCTCTTTACAATGACTTACTAAGTTCGAAATTTGGAGTTCCTTCTCATTCTTTAGTTCCATTCGATGATGACAAGCAAACTGAATTTTTGACAAGTTTCTTCACATCTGCAAAAGTTGAGACACCAAGTTACATCGATAAATTCAACAAAATAGTCGACAACTTGACATGGAACTCCAGCAGCAACTTCAAGACACCATTAATGCTCAAAATGATTGCAGACTCAATTACAAACGGAACTGACACAATCAAATCTGAAAATATTTGGGATATATACGAAGAGTATGTCCACAACAGGATTAAGTCATGGAAGGACAGCAGTGGATTCAGTTACAGTCATCATACAGACAATGAACATTTTGAGACACTTCAGATGTACCAAATGTATGCATTAAAGGCACAAGCATCAACTTTCCCATTCAGAACAAGCTTAATGGTCAAAAAATTGAATATCATGACTCAATGGTTTCCAGAGGAACTGACAAGTGAGGAAGTTGCTAGGATGGAGCTTTTGTACATCAACGGAACTGACAATTTCAAATTTTCTCATCAAAGTTTTGAAGAATTTTTTGTTGCTCAATTTTTGGTCGACAATATTTACCGTGGATTTTATGTTGAGCCTAGCGATGCTGTGTTGATCATTCAGCTGTTCATTGATATCATTAAAATGTATGGAACCAAGCAAGTGATGATAGTAAAATTCATGCATGCCTTCCTGAACTCAAAATACTCACGAAAAACTAGAAATTTTCATCCAAATTTGTCGAAAGTTTTGCGGCAAAAATTCAAGTTTATGTTTTTTGAGCTTTTGATTCCACAAAATGATAAAAGTGAAGAAGTTGGTGAGTTTTTGTTCAAGCTGTTCAGAAAAGACTATCAATTGCTGGTTGATTTGATTCATGCTGAAGATAATGTGACTTTATATACTGCTGCAAATGGCTGGGAAGCTTTGAAGAAATTGGGTGAAAAATATTTGTATTTTTATGAATTTGAGAGCTTTAAGAGCGGACGTGACCAAAAGGGGGTTGAGTTGTTCAGGTTGTATTGCTGGAATCATCATGGACGAGTAGTCACCAGCGATAGATACAACCTAGATGCTGACATCCTTCAGATTAAAGACACCATTCAAGCTTTAGACGAAATTGCTCAAAATTTAACCAAATCTGAAGTTCAAGAGCTGTTCCTGTCAACTTCTAGTCCAGTCACTTCTGATGTGCTTGAAATCATCAAAGATGAACAATTTTGGGAAGTTGCTGACAAATTTTTAGACAATTCAGACTTAAAACGGCTGATTTCTAATTTATTTTGTAAAATTTCAGCTTTAAATGATTTTTCAAATTTAATTTCAATTTTATTTCAAAAATCTGAAGAAATTTTGACAGATTTTGAAATTTTTAACATTTTTTTACACAAAAATATTTTGCATTCGGCTGCAGCTCGTAAAGATTCGAGAATATTCGGTAAATTCTGGACATTTTTTGTTACTCACACGACTGAAAAGCAACAAAAGCTAATTTTACTGCGTGAGGTCGATGGGGTCTGTTTTGAAGGGGGTCAAAATTGCTATCAGTACCCAAAATTTAACATTTTTCATATTTTATTGATTTTTTCAAATGGCTTGAAATGGGACACTGAGGATGGATTAGTTAATGATCCGCAACAGCTAGTTCCATGTGGATCTATGAAATCAATTGAAATTTATGAGAAATATTTTGAAAAATCAAAATTGAGGGAAATTTTATTAAAATCAAACAATTTTCTGCCTTATTTTATTGACCAGAATGAAGATCGAAATCATGAAAAATTCACAAATTGGATCAAAAATTTATTTGATGATGAAAAAGAAAAGTTGAAGGAATTTATTTTGAGGAAAATTGAACCGACTGGAATGAATATTTTTGAGGTTATGAGTGACAAATGTTATTGTCTTAAGACTTTTTTTGGCTTATTGGATGTTTAAAATAAGATTTTTCAATTTTTTTAACTTTTTCAACAATTTTCAACATTTTCAACATTTTCAACATTTTTATCATTTTCAACATTTTCAATTTTATCTCAACGTTTTCAACATTTTCAACATTTTCAACATTTTCAACATTTTCAACATTTTCAACATTTTCAACATTTTCAACATTTTCAACATTTTCAACATTTTCAACATTTTCAACTTTTTTAACTTTTTCAACATTTTCAACATTTTCAACATTTTCAACATTTTCAACATTTTCAACATTTTCAACATTTTCAACATTTTCAACATTTTCAACATTTTCAACATTTTCAACATTTTCAACATTTTCAACATTTTCAACATTTTCAACATTTTCAACATTTTCAACTTTTTTAACTTTTTCAATTTTTTCAACATTTTCAACATTTTCAACATTTTCAACTTTTTTAACTTTTTCAACTTTTTCAACTTTTTCAACTTTTTCAACTTTTTCAACTTTTTCAACATTTTCAACATTTTCAACATTTTCAACTTTTTCAACATTTTCAACATTTTCAACATTTTCAACATTTTCAACTTTTTTAACTTTTTCAACTTTTTCAACTTTTTCAACTTTTTCAACTTTTTCAACTTTTTCAACTTTTTCAACTTTTTCAACTTTTTCAACTTTTTCAACTTTTTCAACATTTTCAACATTTTCAACATTTTCAACATTTTCAACATTTTCAACATTTTCAACATTTTCAACATTTTCAACATTTTCAACAATTTCAACATTTTCAACATTTTCAACATTTTCAACATTTTCAACATTTTCAACTTTTTTAACTTTTTCAACTTTTTCAACTTTTTCAACTTTTTCAACTTTTTCAACTTTTTCAACATTTTCAACATTTTCAACTTTTTTAACTTTTTCAACTTTTTCAACTTTTTCAACTTTTTTAACTTTTTCAACTTTTTCAACTTTTTCAACTTTTTCAACTTTTTCAACTTTTTCAACTTTTTCAACATTTTCAACATTTTCAACTTTTTCAACTTTTTCAACTTTTTCAACTTTTTCAACTTTTTCAACTTTTTTAACTTTTTCAACTTTTTCAACTTTTTCAACTTTTTCAACTTTTTCAACATTTTCAACATTTTCAACATTTTCTACAATTTCAACATTTTCAACATTTTCAACATTTTCAACATTTTCAACATTTTCAACATTTTCAACATTTTCAACATTTTCAACATTTTCAACTTTTTTAACATTTTCAACTTTTTTAACTTTTTCAACTTTTTCAACTTTTTCAACTTTTTCAACTTTTTCAACATTTTCAACTTTTTCAACTTTTTCAACTTTTTCAACTTTTTCAACATTTTCAACATTTTCAACATTTTCAACATTTTCAACATTTTCAACATTTTCAACATTTTCAACATTTTCAACATTTTCAACATTTTCAACATTTTCAACATTTTCAACATTTTCAACATTTTCAACTTTTTTAACTTTTTCAACTTTTTCAACTTTTTCAACTTTTTCAACTTTTTCAACTTTTTCAACATTTTCAACATTTTCAACTTTTTCAACTTTTTCAACTTTTTCAACTTTTTTAACTTTTTCAACTTTTTCAACTTTTTCAACTTTTTCAACTTTTTCAACATTTTCAACATTTTCAACATTTTCTACATTTTCAACATTTTCAACATTTTCAACATTTTCTACATTTTCAACATTTTCAACAATTTCAACATTTTCAACATTTTCAACATTTTCAACATTTTCAACATTTTTAACATTTTCAACATTTTCAACATTTTCAACATTTTCAACATTTTCAACTTTTTTAACTTTTTCAACTTTTTCAACTTTTTCAACATTTTCAACATTTTCTACATTTTCAACATTTTCAACAATTTCAACTTTTTCAACTTTTTCAACTTTTTCAACTTTTTTAACTTTTTCAACTTTTTCAACTTTTTCAACTTTTTCAACATTTTCAACATTTTCAACATTTTCTACATTTTCAACATTTTCAACAATTTCAACATTTTCAACATTTTCAACATTTTCTACATTTTCAACATTTTCAACAATTTCAACATTTTCAACTTTTTCAACATTTTCAACATTTTCAACATTTTCAACATTTTCAACATTTTCAACATTTTCAACATTTTCAACATTTTCAACTTTTTTAACTTTTTCAACTTTTTCAACTTTTTCAACTTTTTCAACTTTTTCAACTTTTTCAACTTTTTCAACTTTTTCAACTTTTTCAACATTTTCAACATTTTCAACTTTTTTAACTTTTTCAACTTTTTCAACTGTTTCAACTTTTTCAACTTTTTCAACTTTTTCAACTTTTTCAACTTTTTCAACTTTTTCAACTTTTTCAACTTTTTCAACATTTTCAACATTTTCAACATTTTCTACATTTTCAACATTTTCAACAATTTCAACATTTTCAACATTTTCAACATTTTCAACATTTTCAACATTTTCAACATTTTCAACTTTTTTAACTTTTTCAACTTTTTCAACTTTTTCAACTTTTTCAACTTTTTCAACATTTTCAACATTTTCAACATTTTCAACATTTTCAACATTTTCAACATTTTAAACATTTTAAACATTTTCAACATTTTCAACATTTTCAACGTTTTCAACGTTTTCAACATTTTCAACATTTTCAACATTTTCAACATTTTCAACATTTTCAACATTTTCAACATTTTCAACATTTTCAACATTTTCAACATTTTCAACATTTTCAACATTTTCAACATTTTCAACATTTTCAACATTTTCAACATTTTCAACATTTTCAACATTTTCAACATTTTCAACATTTTCAACATTTTCAACATTTTCAACATTTTCAACATTTTCAACATTTTCAACATTTTCAACATTTTCATTAACTTGATGAATAAAATTAATAAAATTGTAGAACATAAAAATACAAAAATATAACAAAAATTAATTTAAAACTTTTTTTATTTATTTTAAAAACTCAAATTTACAAAAACATCCACAAAACACTTCAAAAGCATCCTTCCATAACAGTCAACTGCTGCACAGCCCCACATCCAACTTTTCCTTGAATATAATCTGGGAAATTACTTTCCAAAACTCGCATTCTTGAATGTCTATAATCAGCTACTGCATGCGTTGCTAATTGACACGAATCACTTCTGTAGACTGGCTTGAAGTTGACTTGCTGGAATGCTGTGTTTGTGTCCCATCGGTAGACTTCTGGGTGACCTGAAAAAAATGAGGAATTAATTGGCAGTTCCTAACTACTGACTTGACTCAATTGAACTTACCTTCATGTCTAAAGAATATAGCACAACCATTGTCAGTTCCAATAATGACCATTTTCTCTAATTTGGTTCCAGCATCTAAAATGTTTAAAAATTGTAAATTTTGGTTATTATCAAGTCAATCCTCTGAGGTGCAACCTTCCCCTCTTAATAGTCCAAATCACGACCCTTACCTTCAATCTTTCCATTTGTCCTTCCATCTCTCAAATAATCAGTCTGAATCGAGAACAACTTCTTGGAGCACAAATAAGTAAAGAACAAAGTGGAAGTTCCGCAAGATTTTCTTGTCATTGCCAAGTACAAAACGTCTTTCTTGCCACAACCTTCACTGACAGCTTTTGGCAACATCACTCGATAACCACGACTAGCTTGAACATCATAAACAATTATAGCACGTGCAGCTGCATCAGAAACATAAACAAATGGACGTCCATCGCGTCCATAGTCAACAGCTAAGTATTGCAACCTTGAATTTTTGTTGATAAGTCCATCAAATGTGATCGTCTTGGCTAATTTGCCATTTTTGACGTTGAATGCAAGAATCTTTGGTGGACAATATTGAACTGGATCATCCTCAAGTGTACCAACAACTCCAGTGTCCAAAGCCCATAAAATGTCACTTCCATCAAGCACAATGTCAACAACAGACTGTAAAGCTGAGCATTTTCCTTCTTCTTGCATCGACCAGCACGGGAATGGCTCAAATGACACTGAACAAGCACCGCGTCTTAGTTTTGTCTTTACAAGTGTGGCTGGAACTCCTTTGCGGTATCGAGGCATGGCAAAGAAGACATTATCACGTGAAATCTGAGCACGAGTAGCGATGATGTTTTTAGGGATGAATTTGCCAGAGTTTTTGAGTAGAGCTTTGGTGGTTCCACATGGCCATGAGAATTCAGCGCCGCTCCATTTGATGTCTGGTGTTGAGAGAAGTTGACGAGCTTCTGGTGTTAAGAGGCTTGTTGGAAGTTGTGGGAGTGGTGGAAACTGGTAGGCTGATGTGATTGTGACTAGAGTTGCTGCAGCGAGCAGGAGCGATAGCTTTGACATTCTAGAAAATTTTGAGGTTATTTTTGAATTTTTTTCCACTATTTTTTTATTTCTTCTTCTTAGTCCAAAAACTGCTGATGTACAAATGAAGAAAATAATTTAAATTTGTGTCATTTTATAGTTCACAATTTATTTTCATATAAATGCCATTGACATTGAAGGTGGTCTATGCATGCAGTCAGCAAAATGTGAACTCATTCATTGACAAAATTGTGAGCAGACGAGTCAAAATATTTACATTTCGGTACGTGAGGTAGTCTTGGAAGTAAAATGGATCATTTTTGGTTGGAATTTCTTTTTGTCACATTTCGATTGAGATTAATTTTTATCAAATACCAAACCTTAAATTTGTTTTGAATCTCAAACCTAAATTGATTCTCAATCAAACTTGTGATTTTTGGTACCTAATTTGAGTATATAATCTCATAATTTGCACAATGTTGAATCATATCGAAATTAAGTTTCAAGATACACAGCACAACCTGCAAATCAACAACATAACCTCAAAGTTTTAAGCAAAAATTCCAAAATTCAAAATAAAGAACTCTAACCTCAACATTTGGCAACATAACCTCAACATTTGGCAACATAACCTCAACATTAGGCAACATAACCTCAAAATTTGGCAACACAACCTCAAACTTTAGCAACATAACCTAAAAATTTGGAAACAAAACCTCAAATTAGGCAAGATAACCTAAAAATTAGGCAAGATAACCTAAAAATTTGGTAACATAATACCAAATTTCGGTAACATAACCTCAAATTTGGCAACATAACCTCAATCAACATGGAATTCGCAGTAGTAACAATGCCAAAATCCAGAAGAACAACCAGAATTCTTTTCGATGGAGTCATTGACGAAAGCCTCCCATTTTCATCAACATATACATCAGCAGTCAACAATGAAGCTACAATCCTTGAAAATACAACAATGTTCGACAGCCAAGAACCAATAATCACAAGCACACCATACCCAATTCTTGATATTACATCCAAATACCTCAAAGTCTTCAAAAATCCAATGGAACAAAGCATCCTCAAGAATTCTCAAGGAAGAAAGTCCAAAAATACCGACAGCAAGAAAAAAGTTTTTTTTATAAGTCCAGAAATTGTTGAAATTTCAACAATCGATGAAAAAATGAAGAAATCTTTCAAGGAAGAACAGAAGAAATTAAAAGCTTCTATAACTGGATGCAGCTTACCAAAAGAAACTCCAATAAGACAACACAAGTCAAAAATCCGTCCAAGATTGTTGAATTTCACAGAAAGTGCAAGCAAATTGGACACAAAGAAGCAACAGACAGTTGAAGCAAGAGTCAAGAGATTAGTAGGAGGAAAGAAAACATCGCCGATTCAACAGCAACAAGAGAAGGCTAAGGATGCTGAAGGATTCTTAAAAGGCGTCAAATTAAATCGCAGATTTGAATTGTTAATGAAGCATTTGGCTGCAGCCAAGTCGAGTGCGAAGTAATTAGACATAAAAAAATAAGTTTTGAGAATTATGAATAAAAAATTTAAAAATATTCAACCTTTGAATTATTTATCAGCCTAGAAAAGTTTCACATTATTCCTCATTTTTCATTTTAAGAAGCTAGTTGAGCCTGTCCAATCAGTAAAAAATGAATCAAGAATTTGCATTTCAAGTCAAATTGGCAAAGTTTTGTGGAATTTACGAGAATCCACCGAAGATTTTAGAAAAAAAATTAAAAGGTGTCAATTTTGGCATTGCTTTTGTGATGAGCTTCTGCATTGTTAGCTTTCTAGCATTGATTCCGAAAAACCTTATGGACATGATTAAAAAGTATGAGTCAATAACAGCATCGGTGACCAACACTTTGGCTTTAGGCAAATATTTATTTTTATTATTTTACTCGAAGGAGATTTTCGGGTTTATTGCTGACATTAAGGAACTTAACAAGTCATGTGAGTCTACAAATTAAGTTTAGTCTACCAAAATGTCAATTAAAACTTTTCAGGCACATCCCAAATCCACCAGGAAGTCATCAAGAAAGCGAACAAAATTGATCGTTTTGTTTTCCTTTCCATTTCAATCTCATGCTTAATTGGAGTGTCTGGATACATTTTTGGACCTCTCGTCAAGAACATTTTTAACTTTTTGGTCTTTGGAACTGAATGGCAGTACGAACTGATTGTTAGATACTATGAGCCAACAAATATGATTTCATATGTCATGTGCTACTTTATTCAGACTTTGGATAGCGTTTTTGGAGCAGCTTGTAATGTAAGATGATCAATATTTAGGGGCTATTCATTTATGACGTCCGTCAAACTTTTTTTCGCGGTCACAAAATTTAAATGAAACAATTTTTTCTTTGTTTGAACTGTTATAAAATTCTAGACCCCTTCCCCTTCCTCATAAGTCAGGGACATCATAAGTGAATGGCCCACTATCGATATTGTCTGTTCGTGAGGTCTGCTTCACTAGTCTTTTATACCAGTGTTGCTCAACCTTTTAAATCCGCGGTACACTTTGATGGTAAACCTCGACGCAAACTGCATTCAGTGTGCGGTACACAAACAATTGTTTAAAAAGTGTGCCGTGGAACACAGGATAGACAGCACTGCTTTGAAATTACAAAAAACCCTAAGGGGTAAATCACTTATGACGTCTGAAATTGGAACAATGGATTTCCAAGAATTTCTATTGTTTTTTTTCTAGTTGACACCTCCCCCCCCTCCCCCCCCCCCCTTTTATGGACGTCATAAGTGAACAGCCCTTAAAAAAATTCTTATTTATAGATTGTCGTCGACACAATATTTTTCGGCCTATGCATGAACATCTGTGCTCATTTGAAAATTCTCAGGATAATAATAAATGACATAAAGCTTGGCCAGTTTGTGGAATATCATCAAAATATCCTTGATATGGCAACAAAGTTAAATAAACTTTTCAAGATAATCGTCTTTCAAGAATTTTTGACAATGTCAGTTCTATTTTGTGTCTTGACATTTAAATATGGGGCAAAATGAAAAAAAAAGGGACTTTCACTTTGAAAAATGGACTTTTCCGATTTACACTTTTTGGGTGATTTTTTCTTGTAGAGGACATAAAAGTAGATAGAAATGCCAAATTTCAGGTCATTTGGTGCTGATTTCGCGATTCTAGAGCTGTTTGAAGTTGAAAACTAGTGAAAATTCTGGTTTTTTCATACCATGTTTGAACCGGGAAATATCTTAACTGGTTTAAGATATTGCAAAACGGTTTTCAGTTCCTATTAGTAGTATATAAGAGCTTTATTTTGACATATAACAAAGTTTAGGTTCTGAATGTTTTCGTGCCATTATGGTAGAACATATGTGAAAATTTCAGGAAAATTATCTTCAAACAAGCCGCAACTATCATAAATGAAGAGTTTCCAGGCAAGTAAAAACGCAGTTTTGTAGCCCCATATATCTAGTTTTCAAAACTGTATAAACTTTGAAAAAGTAAGCTAACGTAATTGAGTTATGTTGATTTTAGTAGGTCGTTGAGTATTTGGCCAAAAACTAATAATTCTTTTAAAAATACGAAAACATAGTTTTAAAAATAGTTTTTTGGTGTTTTCTTATGAAAAATAACAATTTAAATGATTTTGTGAAGAAAATTTTTCAAAAACTTCAAAATCTTTCGAGATATAGGGGGTATGTGCTCTCCATCGATTTGGCCATTTGTCACCCTACTTAAACCACTATAACTTTTTTTTGAAAAAATATTTTTTAATTCTGTTTTCGGATTATTGTAGCCTAATGTAATACCTATCCAACGATATATAATACTTGCTAGTTAACTTAGTCCTGGTTATTTATAGGGCTGTTGATTGTGACATACGCAGTTTTTGAAATATTCCCAAAAATTGCATTTTCAAAAATACCACTTTTAAGCAATCTCGAGTATTTTTTGGACTTTTTTAAGAAATGTTAAGTCTGAAAAAAGCTATTATCATTAGAGTAATAAAAAAAATACTCTGATACGCAACTATAATAGGTAAAATTAATAAAGTTTAATTTTTAGTTTAATGAAATTTTGTTTATTTGTCAAGAAATTTAATTTACATTTTTTTATCATATTTAATGAAATTTATTTATTCATTCGTTGTTTGCTTCTTCAGAATATTCATGGTCTTGTCCTTCGGAATAATCATAGTTTTCTGCTTGGGAAAAGTCATAACCTTCTCCTTCTGGCTCAATCAATTCAATTTCTTCCTCATTTTCTGTTTGTTGCTCAGGTGTTTCACCTTCTTCTTGGACATTTTTTCTCATTAACCTTTTATTTATTACATCCATATATTTTTTTATTATTACTGGATCAGAACTGTAGAGTCTTCTATGTATAACATCCGTAAAACTGTGTATTCTTGAAGTTTTTCTGGCACGTAGTTCTCTATCTTGTCTGAGATATTTGTTTTGTGACTCCCCGGCTTCTTCACTCATTCTTCCTAGAGGTAATGGTAAGGCTTCCATGTAGTGTTTTGCATGAGCAAGTGCTCTGTGAAGTGTTACTGGTATTTTGAACCAACTATATGTTGTCAAAAACATTCTGTATGTTTCTTTACAGTACCTATCAAATTCATCTAGATCATCAACTGGTTCTAAACTTCGAATTTGGTTTAGCACATAGCATATACGTTTAATTATTTCTTCATTAAGATATAGAGTTTTAGCTAGAAGCTCTGGATTTTCAAGAACTTTTCTTGCAACGTTTCCTGTATCTGATGATCCAGCTCCCCCTTGTCTTGGTTCGAGTACACGAACATTAAATGCATCCCACATTGCTTGCTTTATTCTAGCCTTTTCAACATCTAAAACAATCTGTTCCTCTTCAGTTATCTCCAGCCAGTGTTTTTGAACATATTGTTTATATGACAAATCATATAGAGTCGTGAGTACGTTCATTGATGTATGAAGTGGCTGAGTGTTGAAATACAAGTGTTCTTTAACAAATTTTCTGTGTGTTTTTTCGAATCTTCCATTATCAAGATTATTTATGTCACTCATCTCGTTTGGTCCAGATCTACAAAGCTGACATCTGCAATATCCTGATGTTTCTGTAAGGTCTGTGTAAACTTTTCCATCTAACATTGTGGGGTAGAATTTGTACGTAATTTCCAAAAGCATGTCTTCACATATGAATCTCTGTGGTTCAAGTTTTGATATTTGATTTTTTATATCTTCATATATCCTTCTAACATTTACTCTGGTTTCTTTGGCATGTTCAAGTTGTATTGGTCGTACTGAGTATACAGATTGACTGTTTTCGTTGTCCCATAAGCAGATATAATTTCCGTTTTCGTCTTCATGTCGTAGTTGCTGAACACTCATACTAACTGTCAATAGTGATTTGTCTTCTATAATTTCATTATTAGTCGTTTGATTCGGTTGTGTTCTATCTCGTTCTTGATTTCTTGAATTTGTTTTTCCTTGGTTATACTGTGACTGTCCTGTTGTTCCGTCCATCCCCCATGTGACGATCATTTCTGCATGAATAACTTTTGGAGTTGATTCTGAAGGTAATATTTTGATTTTGTCGTATATTTCTGAATTGTGTGCTTCAATAACTCTTTTTGTGGTGAGTTGTGTCAAATTTTTTAGTGGAATAACGGCTCTTGTATCGGTGACCGTTATGTCATCAGGATAGCATTGTTTCTCTAACCTCAACAATTTTTTAGCTGTCGGTAAAACGTTTTCGCATTCCAGTTTCAGGACTTGTCGAATATTGTTGTACTGATTTCGAGATAAATTGTTAAAGGCTTTTACACCTAGAGCTACATGTATATCTAGTTGTTTAGGTTTTGATGTAGTTTTTTCTGGAAGATCCTCTCCTTTTTGGCACGCCTTAATAAATTCTTTTAACATTTTAGCTCCTTCTACTTTTCCTTCTTCTTTAGAAAGGCGAAGTGCCAAGTGAAGAACTGATAACAATGATCCTTTTGCTTCTTTTAAACTGATATCTAATTCGTCCACTCTTCTACGTCGATGCTTATCGCTTGTTAGTTGTTCAAATGATTTCCTCTTGATGCCCTTGATGGATGAAGGCTCTATGTCATGGACGATGTATTCAATCTCATCCATATCTTCATCTGTGTCAGTAACATTTTCTGCTTCATATATAGATTCTTCCTCAAAAAGAATCCCTCCACTAGATTCGCTGAAGTATCGTGAGTCAACTTCAAATTCCTCTTCATAGAAATCTGCATGATCTCTTAATGCATTATTCCAATTTGACTGATTACAAAACATTTTTGACTTTGACTTCAGCTTGTTTAATTTATTAATTAAACTTGGTTTCTGTGATTCCGCTAATTCTCTCCCATGAATTTCTTCTATTACTGCCAAACAGTACGTGTGCTGTGTTGCAAGATTTAACGTTTTGTCGCGAAGAATTTCACAGAGTGTTTTCTTCGTAAGTGTTGAATTTTGGTTCATTTTTGAAAGTGACTTGTTCAATGAAGTTCAAAACTGATATGATGTGTAGAGAGAATTTCACGAGTATATATATAAAATAGTTTCAAAACTGAGATTTTCACACCTGATAGTGACTACCAAGGGTACTTTACAAAGTTGTTAACTAGGGAAGTAAAAAGTTTCTAAATTTAATTTTTTGGCTTTATAATCTCATAAATGTCATAAATAAACATAAAAAAGTTCTAAAAAAATACTCGAGATTGCTTAAAAGTGGTATTTTTGAAAATGCAATTTTTGGGAATTTTTCAAAAACTGCGTATGTCACAATCAACAGCCCTATAAATAACCAGGACTAAGTTAACTAGCAAGTATTATATATCGTTGGATAGGTATTACATTAGGCTACAATAATCCGAAAACAGAATTAAAAAATATTTTTTCAAAAAAAAGTTATAGTGGTTTAAGTAGGGTGACAAATGGCCAAATCGATGGAGAGCACATACCCCCTATATCTCGAAAGATTTTGAAGTTTTTGAAAAATTTTCTTCACAAAATCATTTAAATTGTTATTTTTCATAAGAAAACACCAAAAAACTATTTTTAAAACTATGTTTTCGTATTTTCAAAAGAATTATTAGTTTTTGGCCAAATACTCAACGACCTACTAAAATCAACATAACTCAATTACGTTAGCTTACTTTTTCAAAGTTTATACAGTTTTGAAAACTAGATATATGGGGCTACAAAACTGCGTTTTTACTTGCCTGGAAACTCTTCATTTATGATAGTTGCGGCTTGTTTGAAGATAATTTTCCTGAAATTTTCACATATGTTCTACCATAATGGCACGAAAACATTCAGAACCTAAACTTTGTTATATGTCAAAATAAAGCTCTTATATACTACTAATAGGAACTGAAAACCGTTTTGCAATATCTTAAACCAGTTAAGATATTTCCCGGTTCAAACATGGTATGAAAAAACCAGAATTTTCACTAGTTTTCAACTTCAAACAGCTCTAGAATCGCGAAATCAGCACCAAATGACCTGAAATTTGGCATTTCTATCTACTTTTATGTCCTCTACAAGAAAAAATCACCCAAAAAGTGTAAATCGGAAAAGTCCATTTTTCAAAGTGAAAGTCCCTTTTTTTTTCATTTTGCCCCATAGTGCATTTCCAATAATTTTAAATGATGACGCATCGAAGCCAATTCCTCATTTATTTCATGCAATTGCTGGAATCATTGACTTGCTGATTTATTCATATGGTGGACAAAAAGTTATGGACTCTGCTGTTAATGTATGCAGAGATTGTTATGAAGCTGACAGAATGATTGTTATGTTGAGGAAAAAGCATGAGGTGAAGATTGAGTCTGTATTTTATCACGCATCATTGCCAACATTTACTTTGATGATTGGACGAACAATGTCATTGATTGCTGTGCTGAAATCATTTTTGTAATTTTTTGATGTCACTTATTGTTGGGCTGTTTAAGTGTGCACTTTTGAGCGAGGCGGTTCTGATTTTTTTGAACAATGTCGCTCAGAAACCTTTGTGCTTTGCTTTTTTAAACTTTTTTGTGCTAGAAAATGCTTGAAAATTTGGTACGTCCCGCTTTTTCAGTGCTGAAATCGGAACATGTCCCGACATTGATGGACATTAGACCTTTTGCTGAATAGTCAAGGATCTGTGTTTAGCTTCGCGAGTTTTCAATTACAATTTGGATCAACCCGAATAGCACAAGTCGGTTATTCGAATAGAAATCCAGCGTAACTTTGGAAAAGTGTTGGATTCGAGGCAACATTCCAAAGACACGCCAGCCAACTTGGTGCTTGATTTCTATTTAGTAGCAATCTTGTGTCAAAGATTCAATATGTTGCAATCCAAAGATGTATTCTACTGACGTTCCTTTAATACGTTCCATATCCTACACCTACAGCACCTCCCCCCCCCCCCCCTCCCCACCCAGCATACCACAATCTACAGTATTTTTTTAAATTATTGGCTGTTGTATGTAATTTCAATATTTATTTAATTTATTCATGAAATAAAAATCAGAAATAAAAATCAAATCAAAGCATTTTCAGAGTTATAAGTTGAATCTATCAAGTAAGTTGCAAATCTACAATGAATCAAGAACTTAAATTCCAACTTAAATTGACAAACTTTTGTGGATTTTTTAAAGTTCAATCCCAAAAAGCGCGAAAAGTATTGAAAATAGTTCATTTTGGAGTAATTTTGATGATGATTTATTGCATCGTAACGTTTTGGATATTTATTGTAAGAAATTATGGGAATATGATTAAAGTCTATGAGTCAGTGACTGCATCCGTGACTAACACTTTGGCATTGACGAAATATTTATTTTTGATAGTTTATTCGAAGGAAATTTTCAATTTTATTAATGAAGTTCAAGACATAAATAAGAATTGTGAGTAGCGTCACTTAACTATCAACTTGTGAGTTGTAGTTGCATCCTTGCTTAGCATCACATTTCATCTTACAGGCACATCAAAAGATCATGTGGAAGTCATTAACAAAGCAAACAGACTTGATCGAATTGTATTTAAATGCATGTTTGTGTCATGTCTGATTGGAACAACTGGATACGTTTTAGGACCTGTCATAAAAATGATCATCACTGTCGTAGTCTTTAAAGGTCCTTGGAACTATGAAATGATTGTGAATTTTTATAAGCCATCAAATTTTGGTTCTTATTTACTTAATTATTTGATTCAGATCCTGGACTGCATTTTAGGTGGATTTGTGAATGTAAATTTTAAATAAATTATTTAGGGGCTGTTCACTAATGACGTCCATCAAAAAATCTCATTTTTGGATAACTTTCCCCCCCCCCCCCCCCCCGCCATTTTAAATTAATTATTTAGCCTTTCACTTATGACGTCCATCGAAAAACCACATTTCACAAACTTTTAGACCCCCTGCCAACCCCCTCCCAACCCCCCCCCCCCCCCCCCCCCCCTATGATGTCCAATCCCCCCTTATGATGTCCAATCCAAGACACAAAAACAACCTTTCTGATTAAAAAATTGGATGTTTCAAATTTCTCGGCCCCGTTCCCTTCCCCCCCCCCCCTTTTGTGACGTTCAATCCAAAAAAAATATAATTCCTGATTAAAAACTTGGATGTTACAAAATTTACCGCACCCCCTTAAACTATCACAGATGTCAATACGCTCCCCCCCCCCCCCCCATTTTGTGACGTCCAATCCAAGACACAAAAAATTATAATATCTGATTGAAAATAGGATTTTACAAATTTCCCAGCCCCCCTTCCAAACCCCCCCCCCCCCCCCCACCCAATTTTTGACGTTTAATCCAAAGCACAAGAATTATAATTTCCTGATTAAAAAAAGGACCCCCCCCTCCCCCAAATGTTGGACATCATAAGTGAACGGCCCCTTACATGATTTTTTTAAATTTTTTATTTAAAAATTATAGGTTGCCGTCGATACAATTTTCTTTGGATTATCCATAAACATCTGTGCACACTTAAAAATTCTCAGCCTTATTACAGACGATTGTAAGCTTCTTATTTTTGTAAACTATCATCAAAGTGTCCTTGAAATGGCATCAAAGCTTAAAAAGCTGTATAAAGTAATTATTTTTCTTCAATACATGCTGCTTTCAATCTTGTTATGCGTTCTTGCATTTCCAATTGTTTACAATGATGACATCCTGAAGACAATTCCACACATTTTTCATGCAGTCGCTGGAATTGTTGAAATGCTGATTTATTCTTATTGTGGACAGACAATTATGGATCGTGCTGCTGACATCTGTAAGAATTGTTATGAGTCAGACATGATGATGGTGATGTTGAGGACGAAATATGAAGTTAGGATTGAGTCAATGTTCTATCATGCATCACTGCCAACTTTTACTTTAATGGTTAGCCGGACAATGTCATTGATGACTTTAATGAAGTCTTTTTTGTAGAATTTGCATGACCTTTGACTATTTTCATTATGGATCCACAAAATAGTGTATCGAGCACGACTATAGACCACCATGGCAACCATGAAATCACAAAGTCCTGGAATCTACACGACTTTTAACCAAAATCATCTTTTATGTCATAAAATGGTGTAATCAGCACTACTTTTGACACATATTAATCATAAAACCACAAAGTGGTGTGATCAGAACGACTATGGACACTCAATCAATATAAAAAAGACAAAAAAATCTTAAAATTTTCACCAATTTTTATTAAACAAAAATAATCTTTGATTCCTTTTCATCGAAATGAGATCACAAACCTGACGACACCAAAATCATCTCTAAGTCTAGTTCCTATCCATTTGTATAATCCACACTCTCATCATCATCTGTCGACACTGGCTCATACTCATCATCTGAATCGTCTGAATCTGACAAATGTTCATCATTATCCGCATTGGCATTGGCTTGTAGCTGAATTCGTTCCGTCTGAATGCTTATCTCAATTTCCCATCGAAAGTTAAAGACCAAAAATGCAATGCAGACGAATGTTGGAATGATTATGCGATTTTTGTACGCCAGTTTGGTAAGGAATAGAAATGACTCGTGGAAGTTTGACTTGTTCATTCTGAAATTGGAACAGAAAAAAAAATTGTTGGAATTAAAAAATGGATTTTTTTTGAGTTTGCTTGGAATTTTTAATGATTTTTTGTAAAATTTTGGAATATAAAATAATTTTTGTGGAATAAAATGTGAATAAGTGGAGATTAATACGAGTATATAGGTTTCCTAAGTACTAATTGTTCATTTATGTATCATGTCATGGTCCATTGAGAGTAAAATGCCGATTGTGATTATAAATTGGGGAATATTTGGACATGGAAGGTTGATTCGTGTCAATAATCGTACGCAGAGTACGACTTTTGTCCAACATTTTTTAATGAGTGTCAATAATCGTGTGCAACACACTACTATTGACAAAGATTAATAAATAGAGTGAATAATCACACGCAGCACACGACTATTGACTCTATTTGTTAATAGTTGTCAATATTCGTACACAACACACGACTATTGAACACAAGTCTCAGGAATGGTCAATAATCGTATGCAGCACACGACTATTGACCACAATTCTAAGGAATGGTCAATAATCGTATGCAGCACACGACTATTGAACACAATTCTTAGGAAAGGTCAATAATCGTATGCAGCACACGACTATTGAACACAATTCTCAGGAATGGTCAATAATCGTATGCAGCACACGACTATTGACCACAATTCTAAGGAATGGTCAATAATCGTATGCAGCACACGACTATTGAACACAATTCTTAGGAAAGGTCAATAATCGTATGCAGCACACGACTATTGAACACAATTCTCAGGAATGGTCAATAATCGTATGCAGCACACGACTATTGACCACAATTCTAAGGAATGGTCAATAATCGTATGCAGCACACGACTATTGAATACAATTATCAGGAATGGTCAATAATCGTATGCAGCACACGACTATTGAACACAATTCTTAGGAAAGGTCAATAATCGTATGCAGCACACGACTATTGAACACAATTCTCAGGAATGGTCAATAATCGTATGCAGCACACGACTATTGAACACAATTCTCAAGAAAGGTCAATAATCGTATGCAGCACACGACTATTGAACACAATTCTCAAGAGTGGTCAATAATCGTACACAACACACGACTATCAATCTCATTTAATAAAATTAGCTAATAACCGCACGCATCACACGACTGTCAACCACAATCAACATTCCATGTCATCCAAACCCACTCAACCCCACCCTTAAAGTTCATCATAGTAATCAACATGACCCCCGTTTGCATATTTTCCATTTTTAACAACATCCAAAAACTTTTTAGTAGTCATTTCCGTTGTCAAAATAGTTCCTTGATCCCTAAGGCTCTTAAACATTCCAGACACTTCAGATGATGCTGAGCTGCTTTGTGCATAGACAGTCATGTCACTTTCGACAGGTCCAGGTGAGTAGTTGAGGATTAAAAGGTTTGGGAATTCCTCAGCAAGGCACCTAAAATACATTTCACGTGCTGCTTTACCCATGCAGTAGAATGTGAAGCTCTTGAATGGAGTCTTTCCAGCCTTTGAAGTCACATTGACAATAAACTTTTTAAGATTAGTTGGGAATGCATTAAGTAATCGATTGTTAAGTACGGTCGGTGCAAAAACATTTGTGCTGAAATAATTCTCAAGTTCCGTGTAGCTTTCAATGTCTGTTGACCATTTTGCGACATCACCAAGAGTACCAACATTATGAATGACCATAGCTAAGTCATAATTGACCGTTTTGTCAAAGGAAGCTGCAATAATCTCATCATAATCCTCAACAGATGGTTTCGTGAGATCGATTGCCTTGACGATCACCTTAACTTTAGGATTTGATGCCAGAATCTTAGCTTTAGTCTCCTCTAGACCTGACTCAGATCTCGCAAGTAAAACAACAACAGAATCAGATGCAAAGTTTTTGGATGTTTCAATAGCCATGGTCTTGCCGATGCCACGACTAGCACCAGTTATAAGGAAGTAGACTACTTTGTTAGATAAATCAAGAGAATTAGCCATCGTACCTTGGGTTTTATGTCCTAAAATTGAAATCATTTGGGAATTAGGAAGGGATAGAGGTTCAATAGTGGTGTTGAGCATGCGGCTGTAGACTATGTGTCATTAGTAAGGCTTAAATATACGAAATTTGATCGTTTATCATGAACAAGACTGAATAGTTTTAGGCACAAGACTAATTAAGGTCACTTTGACACTAATCATGACCAAAAGTCGTTTGTTTTTCGCGACTATTGACCAATAATCATAAATAAGACCTAAAATCGTACATTTTACACGATTTCAGACCATTTATTTTTAATTAAGCCACAGAGCCGTTTGCTATACACGACTATTAACCAGTTGACATTAATTAAATTCAAAGTCGTATGCTCTACACAACTTTTGACCATTTGATACGATTAACACCTTAACAGCATATCATGTGCCCATAAATCGCACATTCCACACCACTTTTGACAATTTTAACAAAAACTCACCTTAAAATTCAGCAAAATTCTTAATTTTTGTCCAGATTTTCCGGTTCCAGATCCTTCTCCTGCTTCTGTAAGTCCAATTGATCGTGTTTAATTAAATGCGCAATTTCTCCAATTGTCTGTGGCTGCTCGGGTATTAAATGACTGATAATTTTATTCGATTCGATTGATTCGTCAAGTTCAATGTCCTTATCAGTTGTGATTCTTATTGTCGATGAATTTAACAAGTTGCCGACTAGTTCCTCCCGTTTTTCCTTCAATTGCTTCAGCACTGACGGATTTTGTTTAATTTTTTTGAGTCGATTTTCTAAAACCTTTAAATAATCTTCGCTGTCATCGAGTTTTTGGAATTCTGATTTTGGAACAAAATTATCTTCGAATTTTCTATCAATTTCGTTGATATTGATGGCTACTTGATCGTCAACCCAAGCACTCATTTGAATTAAGTTTGTCTATGACTTTTAGAATTTTGGCCTTTTCTGATGAAATTTATGGAAATTTATAAAGTTGATTGCACCAAAATAAAGAAACTTTGTTGTTTTGAGAGGGGTTGGTTGTGATGTGGGAAAGTTGGAGGCCCCGCTCATTAGAAAATATCCCGTAACGGTTTTTTGATTTGATGAATCAATAAACATAAGTTTTTTGAATGAAATATGTATGTATGTATGTATGTATGTATGCAACATGGTTAAAAGTGGTGTGTAACATGCGACTATGAACTTTACTTATGTTAAATGGTCGATAGTCGAGCAGAACATGACTTTAGAACACAAGACTCTAGACTTGATTCATGTTTAATGCTCAAGAATCGCACAGACACACAACTCTCGACTTTGTTCATGTTTAATGGTCAAGAATCGTACAGAACACACGACTCTAGACTTGATTCATGTTGAATGGTCAAGAATCGTACAGAACACGCGACTCTAGACTTGATTCATGTAAAATGGTCAAAAGTCGCACAGAACACACGACTCTAGACTTGATTCATGTTTAATGCTCAAGAATCGCACAGACACACAACTCTCGACTTTGTTCATGTTTAATGGTCAAGAATCGTACAGAACACACGACTCTAGACTTGATTCATGTTGAATGGTCAAGAATCGTACAAAACACACGACTCTAGACTTGATTTATGTTGAATGGTCAAGAATCGTACAGAACACGCGACTCTAGACTTGATTCATGTAAAATGGTCAAAAGTCGCACAAAACACACGACTCGAGACTTAATTCATGTTTAATGGTCAAGAATCGCACAGAACACACAACTCTCGACTTGGTTCATGTTTAATGGTCGAGAATCGCACAGAACGCACGACTCTTGACTTGATTCATGTTTAATGGTCAAAAATCGCACAGAACACACGACTCTAGACTTGATTTATGTTGAATGGTCAAGAATCGTACAGAACACGCGATTCTAGACTTGATTCATGTAAAATGGTCAAAAGTCGCACAAAACACACGACTCGAGACTTAATTCATGTTTAATGGTCAAGAATCGCACAGAACACACGACTCTAGACTTGATTTATGTTTAATGCTCAAGAATCGCACAGAACACACAAATCTCGACTTGGTTCATGTTTAATGGTCGAGAATTGCACAGAACGCACGACTCTTGACTTGATTCATGTTTAATGGTCAAAAATCGCACAGAACACACGACTCTAGACTTGATTTATGTTGAATGGTCAAGAATCGTACAGAACACGCGATTCTAGACTTGATTCATGTAAAATGGTCAAAAGTCGCACAAAACACACGACTCGAGACTTAATTCATGTTTAATGGTCAAGAATCGCACAGAACACACGACTCTAGACTTGATTTATGTTTAATGGTCAAGAATCGCACAGAACACACGAATTTAGGCTTGATTCATGTTTAATGGTCAAGAATCGCACAGAACACACGAATTTAGGCTTGATTCATGTTTAATGGTCAAGAATCGCACAGAATACGCGACTCTAGATTTGATTCTAACCTAATAAATTGAAAATGATCATTAGCCGTAAAATGCACAAGATGAGAAACCCAATTCTTAATAAACGGTTAAAAGTCGTGTAATTTGTACGACTTTAGACGTTTTTAGTGATAAACTTCAGTGCTATGTATGTTGGGTGTCCAAAAGTCGCATAAATCGTACGACTTTTGGGCAATTAATTAAAAAAAAATTTTTTTATTCAAATTCCTTTATCAAATTATTAAACCATTCATGAGCCTTCGGCTTTGAATTCATCAAGGAATTGACTTGAAACTTTAAAGTTGTAAACACAAACCCTCGTTTTTTCAGAAACTTTGCCTGATCATCTTTGGTGCAAATGTACTTCTTGATCTGGTTCCATGTGAATTCAGCGACTTCTGGATGATTGTTGCTGACCAAACTGAACATGACATGCTCTCCCAGCCAATTGGTGTGCTTTATCATAGCCAAAAATTCTTGTGGATTAAAATATTTTTCAATCAATGTCCACAACCTCTTGTGAAGATCAAGGCTTAAGTTGTGTTCAGCTGCTGACTGTAGTAAGCTGTAATTTGCTTTGCCTGGCATTTTTAAAATCTTTTGGATATCCTCTTGACTTGAAAGTCGTTCAAATTGCTCAATTATGAACTCAAAAATGTCAAAATTTGAGTATTTTACGACATAATGGATGAAATTGTCGCTGTAAAAGTCGCACTGCATCAAAAACTTTTTAAAATCTTCGTCAGACTTGAAAATTTCACAGACGAGGTTCCACAAAAATTTGAAAATTTCGATAATTTTCACATGTTTTGCAGCTAAAAGAAGCAAGTTTGCTTCCAAATTTCCTTTTGTTATTAGAATTGAATGGAATTGAGCTTCATTGAAGTAGTCCTTGAACCTCCTTAATGTTAATTCAATTTTATCAGACTTTTTGATAGTCAAGTGGATCAAGTTGCTGTCATTTGTGTCTTTCAGCATGATCATGTGCTTAACAATATTCTGGTCCTCAAAAGTGTCAAGCAGAAGATCCCAAAATGTTGTGTAAAGTTGCAAATCCTTGTTCAGTGCGTAGGTGAAGATTCTATAATTTGTAAGCAGCATGTCCTTGAAATGTGTTGAACTTTCGGAACCGAATAGTTTATTAAGCTCAATCCAGACGAATTTGAGTTTGTTTGTCAAGCCTTTATCGACACATTCATGCAGGATATTGCGACCAAAGTAATTTGAGCTCTTTATTAGGTTGATGATGTCCTTGTGGTTCAGATATTTTGATAAAATTTGGATTATTGCTGTAAATTTATCAGCATTAACTGAAGATGAGTCGATGCAGTTAAAAAGGAGCACGTTTAAATTATTTTTGTCTTTTGCCTTTAATGCTTTGCTGATGAAGTTTTGGTCTGTTTTGTCACATAAATTATTCAAGAATCTCTCAATTGAGCTTATTTCCAAATGTGTACCGAAAATTATCTGTAAAATGTTAGTTTGCAGCACAATAAGCTTTAAATCAATAGCATTAAGGTAGCTGATGATGAAATCTTGAGTTTTGTTGAAAAAGGTTGAGGAACTCTGCTCGAACCAAAGCAAACAATAAAAATAACCTTTTAAAATAATTTTAACATTTTCATAAGTTCCAATTTTCAGCACAACAATGACTAAATCTGTTAAATTGCCGAGATCTTCGCAAGAAAGATGATGAAAGTAAACCGAATTTGAACATTCACAAAAATAAACTGCAAGTTTTTGTACATTCGAGTCGATTTTCATCCAAAGTAAATCCTCGCTAAGGAATTGATCCAAAAATATTCGAATAATTTGAAAATTTTTTGATGATAAAATTGGAATTAAAAGTCGACAAAAATCTTCGTCCACAACTCCATGTGTAAGAATCCTGATGAAAAATTCAGCAGCAAAATATTCGCGAAAAGTTTCATGAAAAAAGAAGAATTTCCCGCCTTTTTTAATCAGCATTCCACAAGCTATAATTTCCTCATCCATCCAATCTAGTTTTTTAATGTCCAAGTCACAAAATCTTGACATTTCTGGAAATAAACTGTGCATAGCAATCAGCTGATGTAATTGATGATAATTTAGTGCCTTTTTCTGCTGTGCAATGCTCTCGTTCTTCCTTAATTCACCTTTTTTGTATGCCCAACGCTCATAATGAATCCAAACGAATTTTGAGTAGACATAAAGGATTGTAATGACTGTCATTGTCTTTTCTGTTTTATAAAAGACTTCCGCAATCATTCTGTAGAATTGTGGAAGTCCAATTGGCTGAGCTTTAAGTTTAAAAATCCACTGGCTTAATGTTTTAGCATAATTCAAGCTTAATTCATAATTTTCAGACTTTTTTAAGTCATTTGAGTCTGCTTTTCCCTTCATCTTGCTCAACATCCAGCTAGACACGATCAAATCTACTCCGTCTTGCCTTGTAAATTCACTAAGCATGTAACTTTTATCAAGTTCAAGTTTCTTCTTTAAGTCAACCTCAAAATAATCACGTGTTGCAATCCACAGCTGATTTCCGTCATTAAATTCAAAAGAATGTGCTAAATTGGACACAAATTCAGCACAGTCAGGTGCAATTTCATCAAATCCATCAAGTAAAATCGTAGTTTTGCCATTTTTGTAGCAATTTTTAAAGATTTTAACCTCAAAATTGAATTTTGGCTTCAAAATTTTGTCAATAAAAAATGCTGAAAATTCAGGCATGCTTCTTTGTGCCTTAAACTCAGTAATGAATTGCTTCAAGTCAACATAAGTCACCCAACTTGTTGGATACTTGAATTGGAGGGAAATTGCGCAGTTTTTGAGGATCCAACTTTTTCCGGATCCAGCCTTGTCTGAGATGAGGACAAACTTATTGTTCTTGACATCTTCGAGCATTTGTTCCTGTGTGACTTCTTCAGTCTTGTCCATTTCCTTAAAATTGAGATCTTCTTTTGAAATTCCTGGATTTGATTCGCCTGCCTTGACATTTTCGGTGTTCATTTCTTGTTGACATTGAGCATGTTCGTCATTCATTGAGTCCTTGTCATCCTGGATTTTAAAGCTTTTGATCAAAGTCCTTGATTGGAAGAGAATTTTGAAGATCTTGTCATCATTTTCGTCGCCATTTTGTTGATTTATTTTAATTTCTGACTTATTGACCAGAAGATTCAATAGCTGAGCATCAATTATGGATGCAATTTTGTCATCTAGTGCTTCTTGTGCGCTGTTTTCTGTCAGATTGACTTCTTTACTCAGCAAATCCAGAAGTGAAATCGATGAATTATTTTGAAAATTGACTTTTGTTTGCAGCATCAATTTTTGACTTTCTTCTGTCAAGTCAGTCCAGGTGAAGTTTATGTCCAATTTTTCTGGATTATCGCCACACTTTTTTAAACTTTTCTCAAGATTTTCGCAATCTATTTGATTTTGTGCAACAAAAACCAACCTTGACTCCTTATTCACATCATACTGATCTAAATCTTGAGGAACTTCCTTTGAGCAGTCAACAATAAATCTCAACTTTAAGTCTTCGTCTAATAATCTCTCAAAATCGCTGCTTATTTCCTGGTTTTTAAGCTTTTTTGGGTCAACAAAAACATTATTTGTGTCAAATAAGTCGCCAAGTTCTTGCTTGAGATGTTGCTGCATGTTAATGAGCAACAGCAGCGGCACATTTGATGTCACAATGATCAAATTATTGTCAATTAAAGCTTTTATGTCTTTTGACTCACGAAACTCAATTTTTTGATTTTTAATGCCCGGCAACAGGTCAAAAAGTCGATTCATTTTCCTCACAACTTCTCGATCCTTCAAATTGAACTTCCTCAGTTCCGGAATCACTTGATGTTCCCAGAAATCAAACAACTGCTTGTACTTATCCTCAAGATACTTAACTTTATCCTGATCATCATCAAATTCAACTAAAATCTGCACAACCCTGACAATCAGTTCCAAATGAAATTCATCTTTTGAGTACATTTTAAAGACTGAGGAAATGATTCTGTTGCACTCATCATCTGGACATTCAGCACCTTCTACAGACCATTTATCAATTATTTTGACAATTTCCTCAAACATTTCAGCTATTTTAAGCATGTGCTTGTAGTAAGGATTCTCCTGATTCTCAAAAACTAGTCACATGTCATAATGACACAACTCATGTGCTAGAACTCCTTTAATTCTATGTTCACGCTTGTTGTCTAATAATTTTGCACCAATGAAGATCCATTTGTTGTTTGAATATGTGGAACCAAGCGAATGAGGTCCCGACAGGCTTGCATTTTCAACCTAGAAAGTTATAAAATGTCAATTGTGGTTGCTAGACATAAAATTTGTATAATAAAACGGTTTGGGAATGACTTAAAGATTCTAGCCAATTCCTGGTTGGTGCTTATTTAGGAGATAAGCTGAAATGCAACTCAGGGACCGGTAGCTCAAATAAACTTAAGGTTACTGGGATAAATGAACTTTCTCAAAAGGATAGCCAAGGAACTGACTCCAGGAACCATTAAGAGGGTATTGAGGGTTCAGGATCCAGCACAAGCCACATTAAAACTTTTCCTACTCACCGTGTTACTTTCAAAATCAAAAATAATCCTCAATTTTTCACATGAAGCTGCAACATTCAGGAATTCAGTCCCAAACTTGATCTTCTTGATGTCATTGAACCAGTTCCTTATTTTCTTGCGATATTCAGCTTCTTGTTCCTTTTTAATCCTTTTATTGTGGATTGATGATCGATTGCATAATAAGTTGACTGACTTGTCATCATCCGTCAGTGACTCATTGACATTTTTCCTTCTTTGTTGGACTTTGGCCAGAATTGCTTGCTTTAGTTCCTTTCCACTGAGAATTTCTTCAAGATTGTCAAATTCTGTTGCTTTAAATCCGAATGACTTTAAGTGCCAATAGATATTGAATTTCTTAAGATTAACAGCTTGCTTCATTGCTGACTTATTTTCTGGATTGTAAATGATTTTTAGGTTCAAGTTGCTGTCAATAAATTCATCAATTTTCTCAAAGTTCTCATCCATGATCCAGGTGCTGAATTGAGTTCTTTCTGCTGATATTTTACTTAGTTTCACATGCTCAACTGACTCAACTTGAAAGTTCTCAGGAAATGGAAAGTCTGAAATTTCAAGCAAGTCACACAAAATATCAAGTTGACTTGACTCAAGTGCAACTGTAGAAATTCTAATTCGGTGCTTAAAAGGAAGTTGTTGAATTAAATGAGTCCAAAAAGTGATTAAATAGTCGATGACTTCCTTGTTTTTATGTTCAACTGCTATAAGCATCACTGATGGACTTAAATGGCTGTTACTAGATGTTGATGATGTCTCGCTTGCTGAATCTTGAATCTCTCGTTCGGCGCTTGCCTCTTCGTGGTCTGTAGCTTGTTCTGACTCATCTGCTGACTCATCGTCTGACTGATCCTCATAAAATATGTCTGATAAGTAAGTTTGAGCTCTTGTGCTTAACATCCTTCCATCAAAGTCAAATTGAGCATCAAGTGCAGCCAAAAAGTCACTTTTGGTGCCATTTTCTGATACTTTGAGGATTATTGAGCCATGAAATTCATCACTTAAGTCCAGCGTCTTTAAGAATCGAAGAATTAAAGTTGAGTCATTTAATTGAGGAAGCATCTCGATGATTTGAATCTCAAAATCTTCAGGATGTCCCAAAGTTTCGTCCAAAAATGAGCACAAAAATGACGGAAAATTCTTCAGCTCCTCGAAAGTTTCTTGTTGATCAACTGTGCTGAATTGTCTTGAATTTTCATTTTTGTAGTAAAATTTTGAATCATCTAATGTCAGCTGGAGGACCAAAGGACGTGATGTGCTGAATTTGAGCAAATTTTCTTGAATTTTCAGCACTTTTTCAGCATCAAAAGTGAAATTCTCGACTTCAATGATGAAAATAAATAAGTTTGGATACTCTTCAGGGTTTAATATAGCAAGTTCAGCTATAAAGTCATCAAAAGTCCAGTCAGACTGGAAATGAAGAACTTTGCAGGCCTCTTTTGCTTCTTTTTTCAGGTTTTTGCTGTCTTTTGTGAATTTTGTGATGAATTTTTCATTTATTTTTATTGCGTTTTGAGTCAACATTGATAAAAGTTTGGATTTATCAGCACTTGTGACGTCATAGCTTGAATCTTTTTCATTTATTGTGGATTGTGAAATCAGTTCTTGGAAATTTGGTTGAAAATTTGATGACATTTTTGAGGTTTTTATAGATTTTTGATCACAAAATCTTCAAAAATTATGATTTTGCCTTAAATTAATAACAAAGTTATTGACTAATCTTGACTTGACTCACTGCTTGACTCATTCTTCAAACATTTTCTAAACTAATCAATTTTTTTGTTCATTATTTCAATTTTTTTCACTTTTGTACGGAATTATTGAAAGTTTTCTTACAAATTTGTCATTTTTTACCTCAAATTCTTCAGTTTTAGAGCATTAATTTTTTTTTCTTAGTAAGTTCAAAACACAAAATAAATTAAGACTCTCTTGATGTGAAATGACTAATCAGTGAGCGAAAATGATCGCGCGAAAATAAAATGAGCAAAAATAATTTTTTTACAATTTAATTCTCAATTTTTTTTAACTCTCAAAAACTGACCAACCTTAACATTTGAATTTATAAAATCATCAATGTTTAACTTTTTTAACATAAGATCAAGCAAAGACAAGGAGATCCTTAGCGAACCCAAACAGCAAAAATTCTTGGTCGGATAATCGAGACGAAATCCTACGACGACTTCGGTCAAGTCGTCCCGAGTAGGATTTTGATTCGATTATCCGACTTGTGCTATTTTTGTAAATCTTTAAAACTAGTTTTGAACAAAAAAGGCAAAAAATCAGTTTTATGTGCTGCGGATTCATTGCAATTTTGGAGTTAAATCCTTCAATGTTGTCTCAAAATGTTCATTTTTCTTAATAAATGATGATTTTGCATGCGGTATGTCTAACAAGAACTAAGGGGCCGTTCACTTATGACGTCCAGGGGGGGGGGCAGCAAGAAATTCCTGGAAATCCATTGTTCTTTTTTGAAAAATGATCGTTAAATTCGGACGTCATAAGTGAACGACCCCTAAATTTATAATTGTTGAAAATTGCAGTCATTTGAAATAAATCCACAGAATGTCTTAGGTCAAGATTGTTTATTCACCATATTGTCCTTATCAGTAAGTTCATACATTCTTGCTCTGTCAGCTTCCGCACTCATATAATACATTCTCATAAATTTGAAAAAAAAACCTCTTTAGTCTCAATAATGACAAACAAAAAACTAAGCTAATCAAAGTTCTCAACAAGTTAGTCACTTTTTGATAATCGCAGAAGGAACACAAAATAATGAAACTTTGCTTTAAAATTTTTGTTTTATTTTTTGTGGCATTTTTAGCTTCAACTAGATCAAGTAAGTAGCAGGACAGGGTTTTGAAATACAGGGCTGTCCGTTGTAAAATTACGCAGATGGTCACCCTAGTCTTGTCCCTCCTTAAACGTTTTGAACCACAGCAAGAGCACAACCTAAAACGCTTGAGAGGGGAACAAGACCCTCCTGGCTGCTTATTAAGTAGATTTAAATACCAACTCAGATTCTGAGGCTGGTTTCATTGACTCCCAGGGATATCCTATGGTGTAATTGCATTAAATAATATTCAGGACTAGGGGAGCAGGGACAAAGCCAGAAATTTTGTATGTTTTAACATTGATATCTTGAAGGGACTTCCCTGGACACGTCTGTATAAGATAGATAGCCTAGCAACCGTCCTAAAATCTTTGAAAAAATCTCTATTTCAATTTTTTTTAATTTTTCAAACACAGAATCAACTGGATCGGAAAATCAAGACACACTGTTAAAAGACTCTGAAACTTTAGACACTTTTGAGAATTACAATACAGCAGTTCACAGGGGTGTAAAGATTAATAATCAATTTGAAATTAAGTGTAATTGTAGTTGTGTAGAAGGCGTTTGTTCAACTGACTGTAATCTTAATATTGATGATTAGAAAATGAAACCAATAAAGCGTATTGATTATTTAAAATAAAATTTATGAATTTTAAACTTTTATTGTTTGAAAAGTAACAAAGCCGACCTTAAACTGCTTCCACTACCTCCTGCCACGCTACTACAATCTTATCATTATTTAACATCTCCCGAATAGTGTAAGTCGGTTAATTGATCAGAAATCCAACATGACTCTATAATGGAGCCGGTTTAAAAGCGAATGACAATGCCCGAATCACACGGGCTTGATATCAGATTTCTGAACGGTTGCTTGTACATACGGGGTCTTTTCTTTCTAAATTCCAGCAAATCTTAACAAGAACAGCAACAGGGGGGTAGCAACGAATGAGAGGGATTTAGAGGTTAAGGAGATTGAGGATTAGGGGAGGGAGAAGGGGGTTTGAGGATCAATCTCCCTTTTTCTTCAATATGCTAGTGCTAAAAGTTACTTTTTTACATCGTGTGGCACTTGTGAAGTCAACCAACCTATAAATAAAGCTACACGGCACACATTAGTCCAAAAATCAAACAGTATGTCGCCAATAAATGCAATAAAGTGCAATTAAATGAAAAAAAAAATAACGAAAATGTAGAAAAAATTGTTCACCATTAAATTCATAAAATAAGCTTCCAAAAATCATCAATCAGCAACAATAAGCAGAAAATAAAAACAATTTTCCAGTGTGTTAATGCGCGAGAAAAAAAAATTGTTTACAAAACAATGTAAAGTAAAATTATCGCCATGATGAACATGGCGTGTCCTTTGATAATTACAACGCTAGAGCAAAATAAAATGATAATGAGACAAGATGAAGGAACAAAAAAGGACAAAAAATTAACGAAGCGGAAGTGAAAATTTTTATCGCCTAATTTATAATTTTTTTTTTGCTGGTGGAAGAAAAATGTTGACGGAAAAAATCTTTCTTTTTTGTGTTGTTTTGTTCACTTTCATCCTGATTAAATAGCCTCGAGGATGTTAAGGGTTTCATGCTGTTTTGGAGGCAGTGATTCGTTTTATTGAGGATGAAAATTAGGGGATGGATATGCTTGAGACAAATTTTAAATTGAAGGATTGGTTTTTGTTGTGGTAGTGTAGGAAGGTTCTGCTTCAGAATCTAGTACGTAAGTGTGAAAATCTAGTACATCTCGAAATCTGGTACTTCTTATAAAGTAAACGAAAAAATCAAGGACTTAACATTAGAAATCTAGTATTTCATTGTGCAATCTAGTCCTTAATTCTTCAAACTAGTACTTCATTCTAAAATCTTGTTCTTCATTCTAGAATCTAGTACTTTAGTTTAGTCCAATCCAAGTTCTATCTAGCCCTTTAATTCACAATTTAGGTTCAAATAAAAAAATCTAGAATCCCGTCTAAAATCTAGTACTTCATATAAAAAATCAAGTACCTCATCAAAAATTCTAGTACCTCAAAAATATTTCATTTCATATTTTTCCATCCGAAGCATTTTCCATCAAACACTCAAAAATTACTTACTCAATTTACTTCGATCATTTTACATTTAAATTTCCATAAATTAGCAATAATCATAAAACATAATGATGATGGCATCAAAAGTTCATTTTTCCAAAAGTTATTTTTTTGTTCATAACCAATTCATCCACCTTCGTTTTGCCATCTCAGCAGCAACACTTCCATAAAATTCTCTTTTAATACGGAAATTTATATTCAAAAAACAAAGAAAAGTGAGTAAAAATTTCCATCCAACTTTTCATTTTTATATCCAATAAATACATATACACTCGCATAGAGCAAAATAGAAAGTTGTGAAAGTAAAAGCAAGCGACACAAAAGTATATCATAAAGCAGTAAAAAATAATTTTTCCATTTAAATTCTGTAGGACACGCAAGGCATCATGGAGAACAAACGGATGAGAAAAAGATGAACAAGTTGAATTTTTTGTTAATTTTTTTGTTTTAGAGCGCATTTAATGATATTGAACTTCACTAGAGTAATTCAAGTAGTACTTCATTAAGGTAACTCAATCTAGTACTTCACTAGAGTCTTTCAATCTAGTACTTTATTAGAGCCACTCAATCTAGTACTTTATTAGAGTCACTCAATCTAGTACTTTATTAGAGTCACTCAATCTAGTACTTTATTAGAGTCACTCAATCTAGTACTTCACTAAAGTTACTCAATCTAGTACTTCATATAGTCCAACCCAAACCTCAACTTAAGTCACTCCAACATCAACTAAACTCAGCAAAAAAGTACATTCAAAAAGGAACAGCGTAAGAGCCATCGAATAGAAACAAAAAAAAGAGAGAAATTCTAATAGCAAAACGTGCCGTGTGACATTAAAATCTGCGGCACTGCTGGAGAGAAAAAAAGTCATAATAAGAAGACAGTGTAGAAAAAAAATTTATAAAAGATGCGACGCGTAGCACACAAAGGAGCTCATTAAATTGCGATTTGTGAGTCTCATTGTGTAGAAATGTGTGTGGATGTGCTCTGGTGTAAAAGTCATAAAAGATCGAATGAGTTGGTGATTGGATTTAGAGGCTTGACTTCTTGGTTGGGATTGGATGAAAGGTTTGGTGTGGAGTGCGATTCTAGGACTTCAATCAAAGACTTCTTAATTCTGATATTTTAATCTAGTACTTCAATTTAGAACTTTAATCTGGAACTTGAATTTCGTACTTTAGTCTAGTACTTTAATCTAGTATTTCAATCTAGAACGTCAATCTAGTACTTTAATCTAGGACTTTAATCGGGTACTTCAATCTAGTCATTCAATCTAGTACTTTAATCAAGTACTTAAATCTAATACTTTAATCTAGTTCTTCAAACTAGAACTTCAATCTAGTACTTATATCTAGTACTTCAATCTAGGACTTCAATCTAGTGCTTTAATCTAGCATCTTGTGCTGTAAGATTCCAGTTTTTCATCGCATCAAACCTCAAAAACCCAAACAACCGACACCCAACCCAGAAGTCGAAACCATGCAAATCTTCCGATTCTCATTCCTCACCATTCACATCCGATTCATTTCTATTCCAGCAACAGCAACTGCCACAAAACATTTCTTCTTATTATTTGCAACGCTATGTTCATAATTTCTTATTTAGATGATGATTAGATTGGATTGAAATCGCACGACGCTGGTGTTAAGGTTGATAAAGTTTGATTGAGTTTTATTGCATTTGCGAAAATGCGAGCGAGAAAAAAATAAGAACAG